CACTTCCGGTCGAAATCCAAGTCTACCAAAACCACGAAAAACATATATTTGCGCAGTCGGTGCTTAGAAATTGATGTTTCACCACTAAAGTTATCACTCTTTTGAGACTGACATCACTTAACTGACTGAGTTTGGTTTTACGCCGCTTTTAGCAATATTCCAGCAATATCACGGCGGGGGACACCAGAAATGGGCTTCACACATTGTACCCATGTGGGGATTCGAACCCGGGTCTTCGGCGTGACGAGCCAACGCTTTAACCACTAGGCTACCCCACCGCCCGACATCACTTAACGATCACGATGACATTGTTGATATTTATACATTGTTATGTATCTTTAATTTGTTGGCCATGTTCTGCATTTTAGTGCTGGTTGTGTTTGTTATCTAAAACCGAAATAAAGTGGAAAATGTACGCAATAATTCTTCCTTTCCAAAGCGTTTTACTTGCCGGCAGTGTAAGGGACTCAGAGTCGTGAGTTCCAACTACCAAATCATGGTAGAGAGGTAGTCTTCAGCTATAACTATCGACTCCATGTGTTTAATATTTCAAAACAGGAAAGTGTTTTACCTGTCAGAGCGACCAAAACACGAAATTATGTTAAATTCATACAGGTTTCACACAGTTTTGTCCTTCTTGCCCAATGGAGGCCGTTTGGGCAGTTAGCCGAGACTGGTTCGCTGGCGTCCAGGGTATATATACTACCCATCAAAAGTTTAGACTCACTAGTGTAAATGTAGCCACTTACTTCAGTCAACTGTTCTAAACTAGATTTTGCAAAATAGTCCATACTGTTTAAAGGTACAGTTTACACATGAACTGATGTATTGTAAAACAAATTCGTAACGTTGAAAAAATTGTCACGAGTTCCATAAATGATGAAACTCAGAGAAAATTGGTGAATTCTTAACAAAACTTTACACCAAAACGCAGCTGTTCACATGCACGATATTTGCACATGCTTTTCAGCAATTTGATGCATACTCCTTGTGCAATTCATCTTTATAAAGTTTGCAGTTGGTTCCCCCAAGATAGCGGAGAAATTCATCTTCAATGTAACTATATATATATATAACATATAGTGAGTGTTTTAAGTGAGTCTAAACCTTTGATGGGTAGTATATTTACCGAAAGATTTATGACATAACCATTGATAACATCACATCACGGCATAGGTAGGACGCGCACGGTAAGGTATTCTTGTAAGTAAATCTTTGCAAGGAATATTTTCCCTTTCTCGGTTGTATTGTACCTGTCAAACAGTAGTCCTTGTAGACCCTTGATGGTGTTGGCGGCTAGGCCGTTGATGACCAAGTAGACAGAATTTAATTTAAATAGTTTCAAACTTTGTGTTGAAAGAAACAGTAAAGCATAAGAGAAGTGTTCAAAGCACCTTTCAAGGTCTTGGCATTGCTGGAGGAACTGGCGTGAAGTCAAATAAAACAATTATACTGTTTATGTGAAGCTTCATTACCGTGGCTCAATAGTCGAAATGGATCACTATTTGATGACAGTGTCACAGGTCAAATCTGGAATCTGTTGGGTGGATAGTTTTTTCTTAAATCAATTAATTCTGACAGCCATCAATCCAATGCGGCCGCAAAGTGACGTGCCTTTTGACTGGCAACTATGAACACGAAATGTTCAGTCGAAAGAAACTTCTAAAATAAAACATGCCACTCACTAAAACACATTTTGACATGGATCTAAGAACAATTATGTCCATTGTCTCCATATACTTATCAGTTTGCATGTTTTCTGCGCAAAACGTACAAAGTTGCGATTTGAGAAAGCAATCTTTAAAATCCATTATTGAGGCAACAAATCCAAATATCTGGTTTGTTGCTGAAAGCATGGAGACAAACACATCCATATTTTGAAATTACTGCTGCAGCCAGATTCAGAGGACAACATTCCAGAAGTTGTCTTCCTTACAAATGCCTCAACTGAGATCCGAACATGTTGAGCAAAACAGAAGCCATGCTCATTGGACCAAGACAAAGATTCCAGAAACTAGATGTGACTGACATCCCAATATCACTGGTAGGGAACTGGGTTACTGTGAGAGTGGAGTCTTTGTGATTTTTGCGACAGAAACTTTATGTCTTGTGACAGAGTCTTTGTGATTTGTGATTCTTTGCAATGATATGTGTTATAATAAGATAAAATGGTAATTATAGCTTTAGTTTGTGGTATTAAAGACTATAATTTGCCTAATCAACACATAATATCATTTTGCAACTTTATAATTTACTTGAATAAATCTAGCAATACCATGGATATAATTTTTATCATAATTTGCAATGAAAGTCATTTTGATAATAAAAATGAGTAAAACATCAAGATTAACAACCCTCGAAGACCAAAATATTCACAACGAATTATGTCAAGTCTTCCACATAAAATTGTGTCATATATATCAATATTTTAACATCAATTTCACTAAAATAATATTTTAGAAATGTCACAGAGTCTTTAACACTGGTAACGGAAAATTTGAGATTGAAAGATGCTGGTAACGGAAAATTTCTATCATTTTGTGTTCATTTAGGATAAGGCAGTAAGTTGTTCTGTTGTATATAAACATTTACTTGGCCAATAAATGGTGTGCATCAGGTAATTTCAAGACGCCCACATGAACAAGTCACAAGATAAGATGATTTCGGCATTATCTCAAGGGAAATTTTGTGTGCATCATGTACAGTTCTCCAGTTTTCACATTCTTAAAGCGTGTCTATATAAAGATTTTTAATGAGTACCTGCAAGTGATTGCAAGTCACAATATCATTACCTCTTGACATGGAACACATACAAATAGATAGTACAAAGCCCCATTCACAATGCTTAACCCAGTGTATGAAATAAGCCCAAACCCCGGCCAGACATCAGGGCTGGTAAGGAAAGTGTCAATAAGAAAAATCTGACAAATATTGCTGAAGTGAAAGAAGAGGTGGTCCGATATTGGGACAGCATGGACCACGACTTTCTAACTTCTTTGATCAGTAGTATGCCCCGCCGCATTGAAGCCTGCATTGCTGCCCGTGGTGACTTGACAAAATACTAACTGTTCACCTGTCTTTGAATCTGGAGTTATGTTCTGCTAATATTCACATTAAATACGTGAGTAATGAGTGAATTTTTTTTTTTAAAATTACAATCTTTAAATTCTCAATAATTTCTGGTTGTACTGTACGTGAATTCCTGACACAGTACCAGCCACCTAAATGCCTCCGTTCCAGTTCCTTGACATTCACCGATTTCAAATGAAAACATTCCGAGGCAGATATTTCAGTGCGGCAGCTGCTGTCAAATAGAATCAGCTCCCTGGCTCTTTAAAACACTCTGACTCTCTTCCATAATTCAAAGCCCATCTGAAGACCTATCTCTTCAACAACTATCTCAGATAAAGCGCTTTGAGGGTGCATAGATGAATGAAAAGCCGCTATACAAATGGAACTATTATTATCATTAATACAGTAATATACACATGGTAAGACTGACTGACTGACTGAGTTTGGTTTTACGCCGCTTTAGCAATATTCCAGCAACATCACAGCGGGGGACACCAGAAATGGGCTTCACACAATGTACCCATGTGGGGATTCGAACCGGGGTCTTCGGTGTGACGAGCCAACGCTTTAGCCACTAGGCTACCCCACATCCCTACACACATGGTAAGAAGAATGACAAGAAACATCTATGATTTTTAAACTTCATATAGCCATTTATATTTATATAATTATTTGGTTTGTTGGTAGGATTATTTTCATCCTTACGGCACCATGCATTGATTTTACATGTTTCGATCAAAGGCCAGAATCATGTGCAGTAGGTACAGTAGTTTGATGGCTTCAATCCCAAAAGTGAAAGAATAATTACACATGGGTTAGTGATATGGTACAGTTCATAGAGCCGAGAAGTATTTAGCATATTCATGGATCTTTGTTGTGTGGAAGAGAAAAGGTCAAACACAAATCTGATTATCCTTTGACATGCACTTGATGATAGTATCCATGTGAACTACGTGATAGTGTGCATCGATACAAAACACATTTAGGCAATATATCAGGATATTTATATCGCGAGAGTCCATGATACATCGATGTATCGCCACAAGACGATATATCACGTTACAACTTAAATACTACTTAAAGTTGTAAGGAGTATTGCATTAGGAATAGGAAAAGAGTCTCTTTGAAATTCTTCTGAATTTTGAATACAAATTCAATTTTAAAGGAATTTGTTTGTCTGTTATCTTTGTTACTTGAACAAATGAGTTGGTGTACAAACTCTGTGAACTGTAGAATACTGTCTTCAAGTAATTGAAATATGCAGATATGTTTTAGTTGTTTGACAAATAACACCATTTATTAACAACTATGAACGATGTCTTAGCTTTGTTAAGAAGAGCACAAAGAGAAGATAAAATTTAGAAAGCTTACTTTTTTTTTTTTAGTGATTCTGAATTCTGATATAAATTACATTGAGTTGTTTGTGTAAGCATTGGTGTAAAATACAACTTCCCAAGGGAAACTTCACTTTCAAATTTATATATAGTGTATTAGATCTGTACTTTCTTAAGCATTAAATGCTGAACATCTTTTTAAATGTGTGTGAATGTAACACAAAATCTGCAGTATAACAAATAAAGTTTCAGTCATTTTATCTACCATATCTGTTCTATTGTAAAGTATTGGGATACGTATCATATCGCCACAAGTGTATCGTGATGATAATCGTCTCGCAGGTTCCTTGCCAATACTTTCATGATATATCGTCTCGCCTCATTAAACTGGTATCGGGATATATCGTCTTGCCAATTAGGCCATGATACACAGCTCTACTTGATGCATGTAGACAAATATAAGGTTGAACTTTTCAGTAGAAGGCTGCACTTGGCATGTGATGTAGGGCTGAATCAAGCCCTGCAATAGCATGGGACACAGTTCCACGTTAAGTTAAATGTACAGAGTAAAAAAGATAAATAAACTCAATGACATGTTTTATCATTTCTCATAATTTTATTAGCCTTTAGCAAATAAGTCAGATAATATTTGCACATTTCACTAAAATATATAAGGCTTTTGTATACATCTTGTCTAATAAAACTACAATGGAAATGAAGAATGTCTTTTTAAAAAATGCCCCGAGACATTAAAAGTATATAACATGTAATCTTTGACCTTATGCTAAGGAAAGTTTTCATTCACAACAAAATTTACTTAAAACACAGTACCACTCATACATGTTCCCACACTATGAATGAACCTCTGAAATTTGATGTCTGCATCATGTGAGTGTAGTAACTGAAAGCACTGACTGATCTACTGAAAGATATTCCATGAGATGTTCCCATATAATAGAGGTTCCTGGGTTCAAAGTTTTGAAGAACTCTCATTAGAACATGAGTAAACTGTACCAGTTGGTTAACAAATATACAAACTCTGTCTTAATTGTCTTAATCACCTCTGGTGAAAAATGAGTGACTCAAACAAAATTTCAAAACAAAGCTTATAGCAGGCATCCAATAAACAGCAGATGCCAGTGAAATTGTTTGAAGAGGAATCGCCCCAAATTGCCTTACTGAAAGAAGTACAAGTCTCACAATTTTTATGAAAAGTGTTTGGAAATAAATCATTCATAAGTTATTCAAACTGCAATGTTTGTGCATTTTGACATGAATTTCATGTTTTCTGAAATGAATTGATGGAAGTTATTTTATTAATCCTTCTTCTTCTTCTTCTTTTTCTTCTTGGGCGTCTGCTCCTCAACTTCTTCCTCCTCCTCAACCTCCATGCTTTCATCAGCATTCTTCTTTTTCTTCTTCTTCTTCTTGGGGATCTGCTCATCCTCTTGTGTAGTGTCAAGATCTCCAGTTGTGTTGGCACCAATAGACTCTTCTAGCTTCCTCTTTTCCTTCTTCCTCTTCTTCTTCTCCTTCTTTGCCAGCTTGGCCTGAACAACCACAGCCTGAAAGTGAAGAAAAATATGGTTCTTTAAAGAGTCCATAACACAAAATGAATGTTGAATACCATTCCAGTAAATCCTGCCACACAGGCACAAGCCCTGAAACTAAGACACTAATTCTACCCTACACAGGCACTAAATCCAACCACACAACTAGGCAGTTTATCAGTCATCTGTTACAAACCCAATGAAAAATGTCCCATCTTCCACCCAAGCCATCCTGTATCCCTTCCTTCATAGACTCACCTCCTCCACAGCTTGCTTCATAACATCCACATTCTTGGCTGGCGTTGTGCCGCTCTCATAGAAGGTCAGCCTGTCCTCCACCTGCTGCCGTAGATGCTCCCCAAACACAGTTGTTGGGTATTCTGTCAGAAATACAACACATTTTCTTTAACTTCACAGTGGATTCTACATGAAGAGTTTAGGACATAAAAGCCAGTGATAGGTATTGAGAGCTACAATCCCATTGAGTAAATGAGTGAATATGATTTTACACCGATTTTAGCACTATTCCAGCAATATTATGGCTGGGGACACCAGAAATAGGTTTCACACATTGTACCCATGTGGGAACTTGAACCCATGTCTTTGACGTGACGAGGGGGTGCTCTAACCACTAGGCTACCCCACCGCTCACAGCTACCCCACAACCCCCTACAATCTCACAGCTACCCCACAACCCCCTACAATCTCACAGCTACCCCACAACGCCCTACAACCTCACAGCTACCCCACAACCCCTACAACCCTCACAGCTACCACAATAGCTCCCAGCTACAGCTACCCCACAACCCCCTACAACCCCTCACAGCTACCCCAGAACTCCCTACAATCTCACAGCTACCCCCACAACCCCTACAATCTCACAGCTACCCCACAACCCCCCTACAGTCTCACAGCTACCCCACAACCCCCTACAATAACATCACAGCTACCCTAATAACCCCTACAATCTCTACACAGCTACCCCACAACACCCTACAGTCTCACAGCTACCCCACAACCCCCTACAATCTCACAGCTACCCCACAACCCCTATAACCTCACAGCTACCCCATAACTCCCTACAATCTCACAGCTACCCCACAACCCCCTACAATCTCACAGCTACAACCCCCAACAACAGCCCCTACAATACAATCTCACAGCTACCCCACAACCCCCTACAGTCTCACAGCTACCCCACAACCCCTACAGTCTCACAGCTACCCCACAACCCCCTACAACCTCACAGCTACCCCACAACCCCCTACAATCTCACAGCTACCCCACAATCTCACTCCCACAACCCCAATGTCACAGCTACCCCACAACCCCCTACAATCTCACAGCTACCCCACAACCCCTACAGTCTCACAGCTACCCCACAACAGCCCTACAATCTCACAGCTACCCCACAACCCCCTACAATCTCACAGCTACCCCACACCCTACAATCTCACAGCTACCCCACAACCACCTACAATCCCACAGCTACCCCACAATCACACAGCTACCCCACAACACCCTACAACTAGCTACACAGCTACCCACAACCTCACAGCTAGCTACCCCACAACCCCCCTCACAGCTACCCCACAACCCCCTACAATCTCACAGCTACCCAGAAACCCCCTACAATCTCACAGCTACCCCAAAACCCCCTACAACCTCTCAGCTACCCTACAACCCCCTACAATCTCAGTCAGGTTGAAGATGTAATTTCCTGATAACTAATCCACTTGTCTCCTCTCAAGACAAGACTAGGTTACAAGGAGCCCATTCCAAACCTGTATCCGAACAGGATCCGCAATGGTTCCATAACCTTACTGAACAAACCTATTAGCATATACTTATGACTCTTTGAATATTAGTGAGTGAGTGAGTTTAGTTTTACGCCGCACTCAGCAATATTCCAGCTATATGGTGGCGGTCTGTAAATAATCGAGTCTGGACCAGACAATCCAGTGATCAACAGCATCAGCATCGATCTGCGCAATTGGGAACCGATGACATGTGTCAACCAAGTCAGCGAGCCTGACTACCCGATCCCGTTAGTCGCCTCTTACGACAAGCATAGTCGCCTTATGTGGCAAGCATGGGTTGCTGAAGACCAATTCTACCCCGGATCTTCACGGGCCCTTTGAATATTAGGGTGTGTTAGCATGGTTTATTTCTCACCAGAGAAACAGTCAATCCTGGAAGCAATGGAACACTTGTTGGCCAGGTAGCGAGATATTCTGCCCTTGTTCTTTGAGCCAGCTCGACCAATGAAGGTGGAGTGAAAGATAAGTCCGTACTTTGGAGTGTTTCCTCGAGTCTTCAAAGCTCTGAAACCAAAACCCTCCACATGAAACACTTACAGATGCACGACTTCAGGTCACTAAAGTTTTAAAACTAATCAAGATTTGATGGACTTATCAAACATGAAGTAACTGTGGCAGACACATTGGGAGGTGAGGTGATATGTGGTGAAATTGGGTTTAACGTCGTGCATGAGAATATTTTGCTCATATGACGACGTGTATGCGTGTGTATGTGTATGTGCGGCTGCTTATACTAGCCAAGACTTAAGCTGGTTTTATAGTGCTAGCCCATTGAGATACCATGCCGCAGTGAAGCATGAATACCCCACTCAGACACATTATACTGACTCTGAGCCGACCAGTCCTTGTTGTACCCATTAATGCCGAGCCAGGCAGGGTCCAACAAGTACCATATATTAACGTCTTTTGGTATGACGTGGTCGGGGGATCGTACCCGCGACCTTCCGCTCTCCGGGCAGATGCTCTAACCACTACACCACGGAGGCAGTCTAGACACATTGGGAAATACCATCACTTTACACATATTCTGTCCTGAACTCCTCACTAGCAGACAGACAAGGGGTACTGGGGGCCTACCCTGTAGACCATTAGCAAGACAGAAAAGTAGTGTTGGGAGCCTTTTCCCTTTCCCGAGACCCGTCAGTTAGACTCACGAGGTAGTAGGTACCCTGAAACCCCTCGGACAGGCCTAGTGATATGAGAGACCCTACCTGAAGAGCGCCTTCTCTGCTCCCAGGATCTGCACAGTGGAAGCAGGGTACTTGGCCAGGTTCGTCAGACTGCCAGAGTGGGCGATCAGACGGGCACCAACCTGGACAACAGAACAACACATTATGGAATCGTGTCAAGTGTAGTAAAGACAAATGGGGTCTGACATTGTGTTCAAGACTGTTGCACCATGATTAAATAGTGCAGTTCATACCTGTGTGGGTGTGCTAGTCGAGACAGAGAAACTAATGCTGGTTTTAGTCCCGCCATGCTGCCAGGGGAACAAGAGTTCCATCAGTGTATGAAATAAGCCCAAACTCCAGCCAGACATCAGGGCTGGTAACTTCAAAATGTTACCAGCCCAAATTGGATTTAACCACGCCAATATGGTGAATTTACTCAGATGTATGGAACATCTAAATTTTTACCAGACCATCGGGCTGGCTAGCTGTAAATTTAGACCATCCATCAGAAATCTAGACCGTCTCGGTGGTCGGACAGGCCTTATTTCATACACTGGTTCCATTGGTTATCTTTCACGACAATAAGCCAAGGACTGAGCAAGTACAATATCTTCAGCTATGATGCAGGACGAAGTATCGACTATCAGTTCTCTAGACAGACACTCAAACCACCACACCATACAAGTTCTATTGATTTATGTAGTTCCTTGTTGTTTAATGCTGTACTCTGATATTTCAGCAATATTTCAGCAAATGGCGGCAGTCTTTTAATAATCAAGTCTGGTCCAGATAAATGATTGAGAAACGACGTGTCAACCACGTCAGCAAGCCTGAACACCAGATCCCCTTAGTCACCTCTCATGACAAGCATGGGTCACTGAAGACCAATTCTAACCCAGATCTTTGCATGTGAGTTATGCCTTAATTCAAGATAAAATGTACATTTGTCTTTAACTGAGAGCTGCATAGCTGTACCATAACTCCTGACAGGACTAATGTCGGTGCTCAAAGACAGGATTAAAGGCCATTGCTCGGAGAAGGCACTATGGATAAATAATTAAGGTGTCAAATCTGTTCATTTGCAAGGACTCTGACCACTTGTGATCTTTGGTATTTAAAGAAATTGTTCAGCTTTAGTAACAATACAGAAGAAAGTTCTTTCAAAGTTGATAAATTATGACAATGTGCAATTGCCCTTTGTCTCTTCAAGAATCAGTGCATACCTGTTCACCGATGAGAGTGGCAAGATTTGGTGCCACAGAGCTCATTTTAGTCTTCAGGTACTCCGAGAGTTGTTTTCTGTATTCTGTCAATCCAATTACTCGTGTTGCAAACATGCAGATGTTCATTAGATCAATGGGGGAGATGTCCATTCCTGAAAACATAATACACAGGAAGTCAATAATCCAGTACAACTGTACCAACCCTTCCTATGCTTGGAATTATTTTCTATATTAACGCACGACTCGGCAGTATTCTAGCTGTATGAGGGCAGTCTGTAAATAATTGAGCATGAGTCAGAGCAACCTGTGATTGATTCATTGAAAATGGCAGTTCGGGTAAGATGACACCCATCTGAGTCTGACCCTTCAATCCACTTAGTCGCTTATTACGATAAACAGTACAATGTCTCATAGATGACCTTGACCTTCATAATGTTGAAATACTTGGACCAATCCTCATACTTTCAATGGCAAACCCTGAATTATCAAAGTCATCCTCTGGCTTCCTATAGACAATGTGTTTTGTATTACCCTACACACTGACCTTGCAGATTCAAACAAGGCCATGACCTTTCCAACTGATGGAAAATACTGACATCTCAACTCACCCATGGATGACCTTGCTGCATCAAATATGGCCTTGACCTTCCCAGCATCCATGACAATCTCTTCCAGGTCCTCACTCTTCTCTTCTGTCAAATCTTTGCGACTCTGGATAAACTTTACGACTTTGGCATATGTGTAGTTGTCAGGTACGACCTTCACCAGCTCTGGGAAGTGGTACGAGTACCATTCTCTGCGAATAGCAATTTGTTAAGCAATATTAATTGGGTCACAGCTACATTGTTTTATCCCCTTCCGTGGAATTAATTAACCCTACATTTAATTATACTGACTGACTGAGTTTGGTTTTAGTGCTGCTTTTGAGCAATATTCTGCAAGCAACATCAAACGGTCACGGGGATTCACCAGAAATGGGCTGTTAACACATTGTACCCATGTGGGGATTGGAAATTGTGTAAACTGGACTGACTCTTAGCAATATTCCAGCAACATCAATGCGGGGACACCAGAAATGAGCCAACACTTTAACCATAAGGCTACGAGCCAACAGTTTAACCATTAGGCTACCCCACCGCCCCACTTAATTATAAATAACAAAGTCAGAGGAGGATAACATGTTAAATAGGTCCAACAGACATGATCGCTTAAAGCCAGCAATCATGACTGTTGCACTAAAGCAACAAATGCTGCAATCTGCAAATTCAGATTCAGATAATTCAAGTAACCAGAATGGACCAGACAACCCATTATGTGAAGCCCCAGTAACAATCCAAATCCTATCAGCACAGTGGTATACAGTGACCACCCAGTCCAAACTTGTCACCCTATACTCTCATGACCAGCAAAGTGAACTGACACACCTTTCTAACTTGGGCCTCAAAATGAAAAGTTGACTTTACTGTAGCCATGTTACTGGTAATCTCAATAAACAATGATACTACTATTTCTTGCTATACATACTTGATCCTCATGGAGAAGGTGTTGATATCTTTATCCAGCTGGTCGAGGAGACTAATGCTCTGTATAATCATGTTATCCACACGGTTCACGTTGAACTTGACCTTGGCCCTGGAGTAGCTGTGCCCAAGGCCGAGCTGAGCTTTGGATGCAGACTTGTCAGTCAAACCTTTGACAAGGCTGGGAAAGTGGACACGTATCCCTGTGAAAATGGACAGACATGGACTGTTCACAATGATTCAAGTGGTCAAATGATTTTATCACTGAAAGTCGCTGCGATCTCATATCTGTTTAATTTGTCTGAAACAAAGATAATAATGTTCTCAAAGCTTGCACTGCAACCGAGTTAACCGAGTTAACCGAGCCCATAAGAAGTTAAGAGCTGCAAGTCGCAAGGATGTTGAAGATGTCTTCAAGTGGTTTCAAGTGACAGAAGTAAGGGTGACTATTGAGGGGGAAACAACTATTGCAATAGGTGATAGTCTATTGTTTTCTCTCTCCTTGAATTGTCTCATTTGAAGTCATTTCCCAAATGAATGCATAGTTTATATGAAATAAAAACAAGCTGAAGTAGTTTCAGTCTCTTTTAATAATTGACAAGAAACTTGAAACCCAGATCAAGTTTGTTTAAGAGGTAACAGAGGTGGAGATCTCTAAATCAAAGTGAATGAATCTGGTACTTCCTGTATTTTGCTCTGTGCATTTATCAATGGAAGTCAATTACTAAATTATTGATAGTCACACATACTATTGATGCATCAATAGTTTTTCGTTCCGACCATCAATTAATTGCTATCGGAGGCTCAACAATTGCAATCCATCGATAGTTTGATGCATCGTTATAGCCCTAGACAGGAGTGAACATTTACCTGTATGAGAACATTTTAATGCAGATAAGACTGGTCTCTTTCATTAATTAACTCCTCAAAGAACCCTTCCTCTAAAATCTGAAGTAACTGGTAAAGAAATCCAACATGGGGAGACATTTACCGAACAACAAACCATGGACACAACAAACAGATTACTATGATCCCTACGAGTTTGTTATATCCATGTTGTACTGCAATCAAGTCTGGACCACACAATCCTGGGATATTGTTAGCAGTGATCCACTCCATCTGTTTAATGATAAACAATCAACGTGAACTGACCACCCCCTGCACTTGGTCAAATCTTATATCCAGAACAACTTACTTGGTACCTATTCTAACATAATCCCAATGGGGTCTCAATGCACTTCAGATTTTAGAATTAAAAGTTCGACTCAGAAACGTACCTCTGATGATTTCAGGCACCACACCAATATGTGAACAAGAAATGCTTAGTTCCTCTGAAATGGCAGCACCAATCTTGGCATCACCAACACCAACAGTTATCTTCTCCTTCTTGCCAGCTTTCGGAACATTTGTCTCCAGGAACAGACGTAGGTCCTCGTGCAGCAGCCCTGTCACATATTTGTACAGAGAGGGGCTACAGTGGGGATACAGCTCATGTAGAAAGTGCAGGACATTGTATATGAAGAGCACAAAAATAGTAGTGTACATTAAGAGAGTATAAATTGTGGATATTGTATGTGTACAGTATATCAATATTTAGAAAGTACAGTGAGTGAGTGAGTTTAGTTTTACGCAGCACTCAGCAATATTCCAGCTATATGGCGACAGTCTGTAAATAATCGAGTCTGGACCAGACAATCCAGTGATCAGCATGAGCATCGATCTGCGCAAGTGGGAACCGATTACATGTGTCAACCAAGTCAGCGAGCCTGACCACCCGATCCCGTTAGTCGCCTCTTACGACAAGCATGGGTTACTGAAGATCAATTCTAACCCGGTCCTTCACCGGTCTAGTAAGTAGAGAATACAGTAAGAGCACTGTATATGTAGAGACCATACATAGTGAACAGAGAGTACAAAGTGGGGATATTGTACACCGAGAGAGAGGGCACATTGATATTGAGGAAGTACAGTAAGAGCACTGGATCCCCCACGATGGGTCGCAGCCAACTCACACCACAAGACATCTGGCAGTTGGTTGTAAAACGTAAGTATGTTTGGTGAAAACAGTATCTAATAAAGATCATACTGACCATTATTCTAGAAACCCGTGTTTGTTTTCTTTTTTATATCCCAACGATCACTGTTTGAATGTATCAACAACGAGACGCCATTTTGTGAAGTCGGTGCATATGGAAATATGAACCCATGAGAAAACGTACCCACGGTAAATAAAAATGTAGTCATTTTTCATTCAAATCATTATATTATTGTTTCTGTGTTGACAATACAGAGAGAAAATCTTAATAATAATGATAATAATAACATGTACATGAACATTGCGATCCTGACATATTTTTCATTCAAAACATTATTTTTTCAGTGTCGACAATAATACAGAATGATGATAATAATTTGTACATTCTATGGGGGATACTGGAACCCGACAGACAAAATATAATGTGATTCCAACTAAATGCCTGCAAAATCCTAAACAGCAATGGTTTCAATATCAAATTCTTCACCATATCCTACCAACAAATTCATTACTTTTCAAAATGGGATACACTGACAGCAATTTATGTGGCTATTGTAATAATCAAAGTGAAATAGTTGATCATCTGTTCTGGTATTGCAAACACAAGAGTTCCATCTGGACCCAAGTTGAAAAATGGGTCAACCAGAAAGACGATTTATACATTAAACTAAACAAGAAAGATATACCGGTACTTCTTGGCTCGCTGCTACCAAATTTTGGACCAATAAATCTTTTAATAATTGTATGCAAACAATTTATCTTCAAAAATAAAACATATAAAAAACGAATAAATTTTGAAATGATCCAGGAAGAACTGACATGCTTTTATTTCTTTATGAAATACACAGCAAAAAAGTACGGACATCTTAACCAATTTACTAAATTCTGGTCATCTTGTCACCTTTTGTTTATATAGACAATTATATACATGTGCAGCTATGTATAAATGCAACAAAAATAAAGAACTTATAAAACAAAGTTTTAAAAAAGTGGGGGATAATTGTACAAAGAGAGAGCATATAGATGTGGAGCAAGTAGTGAATGTAGTGAGGACACTGTAGAGGGCATAGATTTATTCACTTATTCAGTTTATCAGTTTAAAAAATATATATAACAAATATTGGACACTATGATTTAACAACTCAGTAGATAGTATATATATATCTAAACTAGAATTTTAAAGCACCTATAGGGGAATGAGAGAATAGTGTTAGAATAAACAATATTAAATCTGATGTTGCAAAAATGACCCCCAATAACGGAACTATGACCCCCAACAGCTGAACTATGACCCCCCAACAACTGAACTATGACCCCCAGTTTTAAGACTGGGAGATGATTATCACAAATAAAATGAGCGGACATTTGATTCATGTAACCCAAGCTCCCAATCATCTCAAATCCTATCTCAAACTCTTAAAACCTGCATTACTAAAAACAGCTGACATTTAATAGCAGTCTGTAAGTCTACACTGTTTCATGCATATGCAGCTTTGTCTCACCTTCAGAGATGCTGTTTATGTTGTCAAGAGCATTGGTTCCACTTTTGAATGGGGAGAAGGCCACAAGTTTTATGATAGAGTTGAATTTGCTCAGATCGGTCACACTTTGCTCCACTTGCGGTTGCAACATCGCCACTTCCTCGAATTCCCGTACACGGAACAGACCATACCCCGAGGCATGCTCGAACAGCGTGTACAGACTCTGTGCCTGCATTGTAAGTAGAGAATTACAGGTGAGACTGAATCTGAGTGGGTGAGTGCAGTTCTAAGGTTTTCCTGTCAGACAAGCATGCAAATGCAAACCACCCACCAGCAGGTAAACCAATGGTTCGACAGTATGAGTAGAAAGACTGTTTTGACACTCAATTATTTCTGATCATTGATAGCTGTTAATTCATTATCAACACATGAACTGATTATTGATTTGTTAATTGTAAATTTAAAAGTGAATTATTTGATAAATTGATGAAGAGTGCAATTCATAACACAAGAATTAGTCAAGGAATCTATCCAGGATTCTGAACTTACTGCCCTTGGAAAGCAGTTTGGGAACAGACTGTTATTTTGATCAAATTAGTCAGGGGCATTCAAGTCATGTCTGCAGAGCCATAACGTAAGTCTATATCATAAGGCTGTAACGATTCACTCGCATATTTGGTGAATCGAACCGTAGCCCTTCATGAATTCAATTCGTTGTTCGTGGTCACCAGAACCGAATATTAACGAATCTTTACGATTTTTTTAAGGGAGCATGGTTTACTTGAACCCATGTGTACTTTTGGAAAGTGAGATATGCAAGAATAGAATATGTACTAAAGTACTGTCGGAAATAGAAAAAGACTGTTTTTAGGCTGTTACTCTGTTTCCCTAAAATTTACACAACTGCAAATAGCATATGTCGAAATAACCCACTTCGGCCTAACTTGGCGTTCAGTGGGATGCGTAATAGGATATCCAGAAAAGCATGTTTACTCGTAAAATTGGGCAAAACTTAGAAAAAATACGAATAGCTGCTGAAAACAATAGATCAGACTATAGATGGCAATTAGGTCGCTCAGCCAGGTATGACGACGGACAGTCGACTCACCTGGCATGAAATGCATGTGCTGCCTACAGGCACAAGGGGTCATCGCAAAGATATTTTGTGCTTATTCATGTGTGTTGACTATGCCTCATCTATTGATTGACATCTTAAGTGCCTTTCTTTCATAAAGTTTATGTTGAGATATGTGAAAGAGTATGATACCTGATAACCATAGAAATGCATCATATTAAATGTCTCAATAAATGTCTCAATATATAGGTGGCATGACCACCCGATGGCGAAGATCGACAGGACTGGATATTTGTAAATTGCTATGAGATGCCGTGTATTTCCCCAGTATAATTGCCATAAAGGATTATCTCATCTTAGCTGATATCTCTATCCCCTAAGCCCGACCCCAACGATCGTCTGCAACACCCGTCCAGGTTTTGCTTTGGGACGAACCCTCCTATCTGTTTCTTTTTATAGTGATAGTGAGACTCCATGGTAGCTACATCCTTAATAGCTTCAGCATGAAAGTTATTATTTTTTACACCAGCTATCATTTATAATGAAGCTACGTCTAATTTCAAATTGGGCATTTAAAAAGTGTCCTTTGTAATACAATATCGTCGCACACTAATTTGCATAAAGCCATGGTCTGTTTCAAATAAATCGTTTTGGACTTAGAAAAAACCTGCATTGCTCATTTCTGCACTAATCTCTCCTCAGTAAAGTCCTTTTTCTACGTTTCCTATGTCCCTACCACGGAGACTGCAGTTAGGCCGAACTTAGTTTAGCAGATATTTCACACTTGCACATATCAACTACATAACTTGTAGAGATAAATGAAAAAATACAGTTTTTTTCTATTTCCGACAGTACTTTAGCATTGCAGTAGAGTAAGTCATGTTAGTTTGCCAAGGCCGCACATAGTACTGTCGACTATAACTATTACATACCAAATTTGAGTGTCATGAGATCACTGGTTATTGCTGTGACAAATCAAAACTGTCAACATGGGCGTTCCATATTGTACATCAATCACTTGACTACAATATTGTATCCGTGAATAATTATTCATATTCGTTACCCAATATTCATGATCCGTGATAATATTTGCCACAAAGTGTATTCGTTGCAGCCCTACTATATCATATAATATAAATTTGAAAATTTGTGATTACAATAACAGAAATTTTGAGCCAGTCTACATGAATCCTTGAAGTCAAAGTTTAAACAGCAAATAGTATCTTATTGCTCATCAGATCAGTGTTTAATTGTTACATTTTTTTAACATGACATCTGTTACAGTTTCAACAGTGCTCATTGCTACAATGACGTCAAAATACTTCATAATGTTTGAACATTCACCATACTCAAGCTAAGATGATACCTTATTCATGGTAAAAGCTTATTGAAAGTTTAACCAAGAAAGACAAGACTTGATTTACAACTGTAACATACACGATAATTATTTCATTAAGATTAATATTTCAAATTACTCCCTGATCTACAGTTACCTCTGACTTGATGCATCAGCACAAAAATGTATGTTTTAATTTCACTTCATCTTTTGAAGTGTTTACTCATTTTCAGTCTGTGATAGGCATTTATAGAGAGGAACTGACACATGTTATAAGCAAGTCACAGTATCTGTATTTCTGTGCTGCTCCCCATAAATGGCACTGATGTCGACTTGTCGCTGCACAGAAATAGTTCAAAGGGAACTGCTATTTGTCATTAAATGTCAACAACAATTTCTGTACTGTTTATAGCAACAGTTTACATGTTTTAGGTCTATTTCTTGTGCTTTCATCAGAATGCTAAGTACCGGTAAGCATTTGGAGTCCATAGGTGTATACTAATATGTCTGACAGTTCCCAATTTCAGTCCCATTTAATATTGCCTGTTTATTAGAGAAACTTATAACTAGTTTCATGACTGAAAATACAGACAAAGTAAATGATTAGATATACTGAAAACATCTAAAACAATTTATCATTATCTCACCTTACGCAAGTTAGTTTGTTCAAAACTGCCTCTGTTCACTCAGCAGAAAATGGGTACCCGGAGGGGTAAGTCATGTAACTATTAACCTTCTAGCGCCTCACAGGCAGCTTTGGTTATCCAGGGTAATAATAATCAGATTGTTTGGGCGTTTCGAGCATGCAGTGTGCATGGAGAAATGTGCATGGAGAAATGCGCATGATAAATGGACAACTACTATTACCCAAACAACTATGTATTTTCTACTACTAAATAATATTTCTTGGGACACATTTCGTAAACCTATAGTGATGCCTTTGGTTGTTTAACACCTACTTATACACGTATCTCACTTCTAAACGCATTCATGCGATGCTTCGACATATTTTCATTAACATAATGATAGAGAACAGAGGGTACACACAGAGACGAGTGTGTCAGTCACAGGAACCTGATGCATCCACTGAGGGTACTTTGAGCATTGTTTGCGATCTGTACCCGGCCCACAGATGCTTTGAGCTGACATACACAGAAGGCAAGCCAAGTAATATGATGTACAGATTCTTCTAAAAAAATATTTCATATAAACTAACATTCTCGAAAAATGCCTGCCGTCACCCAGCGAGGGATGTTGTACATATAAACGAGTATGTTAAACAATCTACAAGGCTTGCAGTCGCGACATTCATGGCCACAACACTGCGATATTAAGTTTTCTCCCGAAAGGGTTCTAGTTTCGGTGATGTCAAGGCGGCTACTGTTGTATTTCATGTAAAGATACATCTTGTAAGATCGATGTTAAAGAAATATCCTATTATTTATCAACCTACAATGTTAGGGGTAGCTTAAAACCTAATTTTGTTAAGGAAAAATACAAAACCACGTGTACGCACCATCTTGAATCCTTTACTTCTTCATTGCAGTTAAGCGTACAGTCATTGGATAATCGAGATGTCGACGGCCAATTAAAATGCGTGTTGTAAACGTACGCTGAATATCGGTAGTTCCGGGGAAGGAACGGGGTCAAGCAGACGAGATTTTCGTACGCTATCAATTTTATCAACACACAGTCATATATGCGGCAGGTAAGCGTATTTTATTAAATCTTTGAAATGTTTACTTGTATCACAGTGTACATGGTCGCAGGGTTAGGCCACATGGCGACCACACACAACTTAATGCATGGACTGAAACATGAAAACTGTTCCTTTTGCCTCCTTGCCACGTCAGGTTCACGCTTTATTTATTTTGAAATACCTTATAGCGTTTCAGACAAGTCAGTGAGATCACTTGACAGCGTCTTCGGCCCCTTGGACAGGTATTTCGAAACAGTAACTTTTGCCCTACTTTGCTTATCGTCGGAGTTTATGCTTTCGTTCATCTTATACATTTCCGGATCCAACCCTTTGCTCGTGTTTGTGGATCTAATGCTTACTTACTTTCAAATTGTAAAGATTAAGACAAGTTATTTTCGGACGACAGTTTACTCGCGCTGTAACAAGTTAGAGATACGTTGTTCATGTCAATAAATAAAAAGGATTATTTACAGACCGCCACCAAATAGCTGAAATATTGCTGAGCGCGGCGTAAAACTAAACTCACTCACTCACTAACTAATAACGATAAAACAAAGAAAATGTCTTGAGCGCCTGAAACTTCATAGCATATATCTGCTTTCACCGACTATGACCTGCATTACATACTGAAGTGTATTGTTTACATATATTTTTCTTTCTTTTGTAGTGATAACTGATTTCCCAAAAAAAAAAAAGAAAGAAAGAAAGAAAGAAATACAAAACAAACAACAACAACAACTAATGACCCAAACTTTTGTTGTCCCATAAAGATCCTGTCTATTTATAGTTTGACAGGGTGAGGTGATAGCTCGTCAGGCGGAATGGTTAGCAATAACATGGGGAAACATGCGAAAGTATGCCATCAAGGTGTCCTATATGTCTCACCCAACATGGAGGACACCGAAGATATTGTTTCTCAAAGTCAAAACTGATTTTACACATATTTATTGTCAGTATAATGTCATCGTTTCCCCTGACTTTTTGTCGTAAGTTTATATGCGACAAAGCCAAATGGAGCAACTTACTGACTTCGCGAGGATGGTGTGTCTAAAATGTGGTATAAAATGTCATGGAACCACCAACAGGGTCCTCGATAAAGCCCATATACATGTGTGTTTTGTTAAGTGGTGTAACAATAAATATAATGGCATTTGTACACCATGGCCACATATGCATTCTATGAGGTGTGTTACCCCCTCACGTGAACGCTCCAAAAGTATGGTCAAAACGTTCATAGAAGGTGAATCCCTTTGAAGACAACCTTTTACTGGAAAGTATTTTAGTATTTTGGTAATATTATGACTGCTCTGTCAGTTTCAGATGAATGATAAACTACAACCAGAAGAAAAAGAAGAGAAAAAAAGATGATGGCAGCGGTGGGATTCGAACCCACGCCTCCAAAGAGACTGGTGCCTTAAACCAGCGCCTTAGACCGCTCGGCCACGCTACCTGATGGGCGACGAAGCGACATGACTTGTTTATCAATTTAGGCCTCGAGTGCGGATTGAAGGGTACATGGGTATTTTGTTATGTGTATACGCGAAATTGTAATAATATACATGTACGTATATGGAGTCAGAGTCACTGTTGAACATCCTACACCTGGCGTTTCCACATTATTACACTGTACCACGTGGTGATAGAAAGGTACCCAGTTTTGTCTGCAAGATGCGCGTTCTGTCAGGAGAACCAGTATAATCGAGTGCAGGACACGACGTGTGTAATATAATCTATATACATGTACTGCAACTTTAGCTCTTCAGAAACAGATGTAAATTAACTTATATCAAATGTTTGTTTATTCATTATTTGTCCGATGTAGTTACTGTATATGTTGTGTACGTATAGCTGACCTCAGGCCTCGTATGCAACACGGTTGAATGTTTTCTATCTGCGTGTATCTCATCAAGTTGGCTTAACAGTCATATGAAAACAAAATGCGAATGATAAATATGCATTCATTTTTATGAACGCAATAAGAGCATGGCTTTAACAATTTGATCTTTTTCCCACGGACTGTTTATACTATATATATAGTATGATCTTTCAACCTTCATTATTATGTAATAAATGATAGCTGTGCCATATGTTGCTAAGAATATTGAAGGGGTGAGTGGGTTATTCACCCTGCAGTGTTTGACTGTAGATAAGCAACTGGGTTTTACAACAAACAAGAGTCATTAGAAGATGACAAATTCCCCCGGTCCTAACAAATTTGAAAGAACAAATCATCTGACAGTTACTTAAAATCCTAAAGACTAAATCCAAATCATTTCCATTAAAATCATGAAAAATATAAATGGAAAATATTTGCAAATAGCAAATGGCAAATGGCAACACTCAAGATCTGTTTGATATATTTGCCAAGTCTTGTAGAAAGATGTTGAACGATTTTCGAGTTATGCTCCGGAAACGAAGTCCCTCCCTCCCTTTGGAGACTAAGTGTCGTTTCCATGGAAACCGATAAGAATATAAATGCCAAAATTCCGCAACTAGCAAAAGACACCACTTTGGGGTTTGTCTCATATATCTGCTAAATTTTGTTTTGTAGAAAGATACTGTGGGTTTTCGATAAAAAGGGAGGGGTGTTTACTATATCTTGGTAGCAATGCTTGAAAATGTGAGACCATGCCAGCATTATTCCTGTTAAAATACAAAGACCTGTGGCTAATCCAAACTTGGCCACGAAAACACGTGCATATAGCATGGGTGAGCGAGTTAATATTACTGGGTGCACTGGAAATATTGTGATAGCCATTACGAAGATTCAAGTATTATTCCTGTATTATAATTGCATAATTTATAACTTATGAAATATTTTACACAGTTATGAATCAAGACATATCTCTTGAGTATTTCCCATTTGTATTTTTGACAGTTTATGACAGTACCCAAATTATTATCATAAAAATCCTGTAAGCAGTTTTGCAGCAATATACGGCATCCTACTTTTTAACGTAATTCAGTGTTTTGAAATCTGTTCTGGTAAGAAATCACTATCAAAAGATCGTGGCGTATTGTTTTGAGGATTATAACATATTGCCGTTCCTAAAATAAGCATATATATGCAAATGACGTTACACTATTTGTTCAAGAGAAAGAGGACATAACGGGACGTAATATCTCGTGATTTGATTGGTCTAGAAAATGGGAACATTTAACAATGAGCATTCAGTAAGTTCTTGATTCATGCCATTTTTCACCGCATAACTGTCGTTATAGCCATATATATATTTCAATTTGATGCCAGAATTACTAAAGTACTATCGGAAATGCTAGAAAAATGCTTTTTGACTTATTTTTAAAATTCAGAGGTATTACAGTTACTTAAATAACAAATATCACTTTAAGAAACATCTACCTAATGTAGACCGAGGGAATAATTTTTTAGACATGCTCTAAAATGTGTTTTTACTGATGAAAATACCAAAAACTTGGTTATTTGATACAAACATTAACTGCCTGTGTTACGTCATCAGCATCCACGACAGGTGAAATTGACACCTGAGCACACGCTCGGGCGAGGGGTCATCTCATTAGATGTTTTCTTCAAAATGTTATATATGTGTACGTATGGTATACGTATTGGTTATGTAAAGACTATTTCAGATTTCTGTTGTTGAACTCTGAAAAAATCTTAAGTTGTTGTTTTGGTACCAAATTCTCTCCTGTAAACTGCCCTTTAAATGCATGGGAATGTTAAATCAATTGAAATAAAAATTAGGTACACTATAGGTGAGTTGATATATTGACAACATAATACATTTATCACCTTTCTAAAGATATTAAGGCTAAAAAGCATTTTTCTAGCATTTCCGACAGTACTTTAGTCATCTGAAGGGTGAGCGAGTATGGTATTACGCCCCCTTTTAAACAATCTTCCGGCATATCACCGCGGGAACTACTATGAAATATAGTGACTTTCGTTTAAAAAAAACAATATGGCAGCGGTGGGATTCGAACCCACGCCTCCTGAGAGACTGGTGCCTAAAACCAGCGCCTTAGACCGCTCGGCCACGCTACCTTACGGCTTTGAATTGTTTCATTGATCTCACATTTAATAACTGAAGCTGTCATTCGCCGACGTTCATCAGGAACAATGCCACACATTATCAAACATTCCATGATGCGCGAAATTCGATATATGGTAAACTTTCTAATCCCTTCATGAAATAATGAAGAATACAACGTCAATCCCTACATTGATTAGTATTGAAACGCAAAGCCAAAAGGTGTTTTTTCGTGTGGTCGTATGTTCCAAATATTCCATTAGGGGTTTCGTCCCTCGGCCTCTTACAAGAATGTGGCGACTATGACAATATGTTGTCATTCACCAGAAATATAAGTTACATCCAGCCCAGACCATATAGTAGCTAGGATATGGTCTCAGCACCCAGTAAAGTTGGAATTTGAAAGACATGGTTTTTACTAAAAATATGAAAGTGCTGTGAGCATTTCATTCTAGTGTTTTAGACAATCTATCTACTGATTACCGCTTGAGGCGTCGCGGTTTGATTTGCCGTTACGCAGACATAAGTTAAGAGTTTTACGCTGAAGAAAACTGAGTTGAGACCTACCCTCTTCCTCCTCCGACACAAGCTTCATATCTACTATATAACATGCAAGCATTACTTACGGAGAAAGTCGGTGCGTCAGTTCAATAACATGAAAATGAAAGACAATAAAAGTTAACGCTTAGTGACCTGAATCACAAAATATATGTTGGCAGCGGTGGGATTCGAACCCACGCCTCCTGAGAGACTGGTGCCTAAAACCAGCGCCTTAGACCGCTCGGCCACGCTACCCTTCGGCTTGCAACCGTTCCATTGATCTCACATTATTGGCTGAATTTGAAAAACATGGTTTTACTGAAAACATTAATATGAAAGTGCTGTGAGCATGTCATTTGAATGTTTAGACAAGCTTTCTGCTGATTACCGATTGAGGCGTCGCGGTTGGATTTCCCGTTACCCTGACGTAAGTTAAGAGTGCATTTCAAAAGTTTTACGCTGAAGGAAACTGAGGTGAGACCTACCCACCGACGACGACACAAGCTTCAGATCTACTATAAAAGCAAGCAATACTGACTGGGTAATTCGGTGCATCAGTTCAATAGTAATGAAAATGTAAAGTAAAATTTCAGTGACCTGAATAATAAAAAAATATTATGGCAGCGGTGGGATTCGAACCCACGCCTCCTGAGAGACTGGTGCCTAAAACCAGCGCCTTAGACCGCTCGGCCACGCTACCTCACGGCTGATGAAAGCTACAATAAATCGCACACTCTCAAATAACACAGATAACCTCCCCCGCATATACACAAAAGCTCTTACTCAGTGCCTGCAACCATGACTCCCCAGAAGAGCGTACATGTGGTTCATATCACTGCAAGGAGCTTCTTTCCACATCGATCTTTCCGAGTGTCCAAGATTCCACGAAGTCTGCCGATTGCAAGTGCCGCCATCTTTGTGGGAAAAATCCGCCATGTTTGAGGTCAAATAGAAACTAAATCTACTTACATCCTAATTTGTTTACGGGATGCCATGACACCAGAACAGCAATGGTGAACTGCTGTTCAGTAAGAGGATGTTCGAACAGATCAAATCGGGACGGCAAGTCGTACCATTCCATCCCGGCAGTTATCGTGAATCAGGGAGATCGAACGCGAGAATTATCCGAGCAACGACGAGCCCAATGGATAGCTAAACTCGGGAGGGATAACTACACTCCAACCAAGTACACCAAAATATGTTCGGATCATTTCGTGTCAGGTTAGGAGATATGTGTGTCAGTATGTTTAGTTTGCAATCCGAGGGGGAAATGCCTCCAGGAAAAATTACAATATATCCTTGGTTTGGATTGAATGGCTGGACGATCGTGACCTGGCGGTTTTTAAAATCATAATTGTTGGCATAAGAAAGTACCCACATTATCGGGGCACGGGGTATAGCTTTGATATTGATTACTGTTGCGAAATATAACTTATGTTCGGAGAAAGGGCAAGGACAAGTTAGGAATAGGTTCATTAAACAATCTCCCCCATTCCTTTCTTACGACATTATCATGGTTATTAATCAACATAGCAAACCATGAGCCTATTGGCCATATGTTGATACGTGAGAAATCCTTATGGAGCTCTTCTGTTCCACACCATGCATTATTTCGGTGACGGTATGCCCTACGTATAGTAATTAAAGTTGTCCAGCCGCAAGTCCCAACTTCTAAAAAACATGTCGCGGATAAACGTCGGATAAAGATAACCAGGGACATCAGCTCCATGTAAAAAGTAGGGTTTGTTGTTGTTGTTGTGTTAGGTGCTTTTGAGGTCGCCTTCGCCGGTTGGCATGTCGGCAGACCTATCCCTCCTTGGGATGCGTGGGGAAAAGTAGGGACATTTCATTCTCCCTTATACTTTCAACAGGGACCTGATTTCTTTGTGTTCGTCAAGACACAGATACTGGACAGTTATAATCCATACATCCAGAGCCCCAGATAAGCTGTGTATTTACGTAAAATACGCCAAATATATTACCATAGTCAAGCAGCAAAAATATAACCTCGAGTTGCCTACATGCAAATACGCTTAATTTCTTTTTAAAATTTTGATGGTATTTTCACCGTGCGTACTTGTATTAAATTATCAGCCATTTTTCTTTCAGTTGGGTAATGTCAATAACCGATACAAACGAATGTATATTTTGTTTCCGAGTCCATCAATTACCCCCATCGTCTTAATTTCAGGTAAACCATCTACACTGTACGACATCTCTAGTCCAGACTGGATTCCGTCCCTCCATATGGGTACAGGGTTGTCCTTGAAGGATGCCCAGTCTCTCAGTAGATACCGCAAGGGACAGAGAGCTCAGAGGAAGAAAGTTCTGGCAGCTGCGGAGATGTTAGTGGAGATGTCCCGGCGTGGTCGGGACGAAGGTGGGCGTGGCTCCCAGGAAAGTGTGGGCGGGACACAGGCGGCACAGAGTAATCCAGTCAAATACGAACATACGACAGCCAAAACTGAGGCATCAGAGGAAATGTTCTGCATGTAACCAGTCACGAGGCAGCCTTTAGAGATGCTCACCACATTTTCACCTGAAGTGTAGCTATGGTGATGAGAGGACGCATTGGTCATACATGCCAACATGCCAACATGCTTGTGTCAGTGTCAACAAACTGAAAGGTCTTTGTTGGATGTACCAGACACTGAAGTGTGTCGTCAACTATTTTGTGAGCATCCGTCGTCCAGTGTTGAATCACAACACATTTGAAGAGATGAACTTGTGAAATATAGACGGTCGTTTTTACCTCTTGTTTCATACAACTATCCAAGTGATGTTGAATGCAATTGTAGTACTGCTCATGTAGGGTGTGTACGACATTGGACTTGGTATTCATTGCAGCATGAATATAGGGCAGGGGTAGCCCAGGGGTAAAAGGCGCCCTTTTGCTTTGTTCCTTTACGTACCTGTCAGGATATTTGGATCAAGAGTTCGAGGTCCAGACTCGCCCTGATTATTATTTGCGGTTTGTCTGCACCACACCTTTGTTCATGTGTATCTCTGGTGGTACACGCCGTGATATAACTGAAAAACCGTTACAAGCGGCGTTTTACTCACTGTAACTGAATCTTTCCACGCACCTTGTTTAATTTAACTGCCTTGCTTACTTTGACGTTAACACTGAGTGACTACTCACCCCTATACATGTACTTGTTAGTTGTGAGAATTTCATTCATGCCTTATCGAAAAAACGTTACAAGCGTTAGTAAAATGTTTGTTTATCATGAAATTGGTTATGTTGTTTGTGTATCTGAAGTTACAGGTGGTGGTCACAGAGGAATATGAGGGGATTATTGTATGGGGGCTTTAAATATATTTTACACGTGTCATTGAGACCTGTCAGAATTATCCCACACATAACATTTCTTTATCGTACCGAGTTATTATTCGCTATGCAGCTGCGTCCTTCTGTAAATGTAAGATCTAATAGGGATACTCTACAACAGGCCTTATATAGTCTCCCTGGATCTAATGAAGAACAACCAACGCAGTTGAATACATTGATCTAACAGACTTATTACCGATCCTGAAATCCTAATTTTCTCTACACTGCGCAGTAGCTACTCACACCAACTAAGGAAATTAGCTCAAAGTACAAGCTTATTTTCCAGAGTGAGATTCATCTCAACTCGAAATCTGTCTGGGACTAGACCCCAGTCACAGATACACTGACCTATCATCGCCACGATGTGCATGTGTCAACTTCTCGTGGGGAGCTGTGGCACAAAATATGAATACATATGTTAAGAAAGACTTTTATGGACATCGTGGATCAAGCTGTGTGCGTACCAGAGGTGATTTGAGACATGGTTTTGTGTGACCGATAGCCACGTGAGCTGATCTCAGAGCCGATCAAACGAATTAGGAACATACATAGACAAAAGTCTCCAAAAAATCGCGTTGATATTTTAGAAGTCCACTTTAATACATTTCACAACATATCTCACGTAAAACCAAAAGATGAAAAATACTGTAAAAACGCAACGTTAATTATATAAATACATTGACGTCCGATTCATTTACCCATGAACCCATGGACTTTTCAAACAACAGTACAAATAGAGAATTTGTGTTTTGCAATCAATCTGCTGAGTGATATCTTCATACTCCTGTGGTGAAGAAGTTGAAAACACTTGAAGCGGTTTTGATGCCGAATAGCTGTTAAATCTGATGATGAGACGTAAAGCAAACTTTCCTCACGCATGCAGATAGTTGTAGTGAACCGAATGCATTCGCGGAAAATGCCGAGAGTTTTCCGAGTTGTAAATCTTGTCAAGCTCCTTACCAGCGCGTGACAATTTTTGTTGTCCGCCGAGGATGGGTCGTCTCTGTGAGGAGCTTGTAATCTTGTACACAAAGGGACACAACCTACTTCCTGATCTCGTGCCCAAAGCAGTAGAACTGTAGAACTATTAATCGTAGTTTGTAAATTGTAACGTGCAATGACGTCAGAATCACCGACAAAGATGATTTGAAAGGTAATTGTCAACAGTTGTTACAGTTAGTTGAAATTGTCATGTTAGTTGATGCACTGTTACCGTTCACGGCAGCATTGGCACTGGACAAGTGGCAGGCGCCCCTTCAAATGCTTCGATCCAGTCAATAAGATGACAACAGTGCTAATCTGAGTCTGGAAGTAACGGTGTTGGAAGCCTGCAGTAGTGACACGTTGTAGTGGGTCTCAATTCACATAACACTTTAAATCACTGACGTGTTAACTCTCTCTCTCTCTCTTTTCGTCTATTGCATGCTGTGTGACCAATTTGCAAATTATTGCTCTTCAAAATATTTAAAAATCATGGATCCAATTTGTTGTTTATTACTGCCCATGGAGTTTGAGTCCACAAAGACTGACGTACAGAGGCTAGGTATTAGTCTAAAAAGAAAATTAAGATGATCATTAGTTCTTGATTAGTTCTTTAACTACACCAAGCATTTGTGATAGGTTGAAACAAATTTAATAAATTAATGATTTATGATTAAACATGAACCCAGATCTGTTATGTTGCTGTAGAAATGAAGTAGTGTATTATCATCAATACACTGTTAGCCCTAAACAATTCAAATGTACTTAATCATTATCGTAAAGAAGAATACTACTATTATATACCACAGACTGTGGTATAGTATATCTGTATATTTGAAGTGCTGTATCTCTGCAATGTTTTTTTTTATTCGGGTGGGGCTGGGGTTATGACAAAAATATGTACAGCATACAGCATTTGATGTCTACTATAAAGCTATGTCATTAAATCATCCAGGGAGGCAATTTAAATATGTTTGTGTATGAAATTGTGTATGTTTTAGGTTTATGATCTTTTTGCCATTGGTCTTAAACAGAAAAAAGGAAATATCTATGCAAAAACCCACAACATCAAACAGGTGATACAAGAGTGTCTTTGATAGTAATTAGAAAAGTGGTGCGTGATATTACCATTTAACCATTATGTCAAATGATAATTAATATACAGCACAGTATGTTTGGAAAATATTGGTAGGTACATAGCATGTTTCAAAAGCATAGTGTTATCAAACAACTATTTGTGACCAGCTTCCTGTATATGTTATGTAATGTGACTGTAGGCATGAGACGTGACCACAGCAACATGCAGCAGAAAGATGTAGAACATCAAAGTGGTCAATATAGAGGAAGTTAAGAGTATGGTTTAATTTTCTTCTAAAAAATGGAAACATGAACAGATTTAAGAACAGGTGCAATATCTTGTGGCATATATTACAACCCATTACTGCTATTTATGACAATGTGAAAGTCTGACCAATATCAATCACTAAGTAAGAGATGATGTCATCTTTTTCTTTTCAGTTGTAGGTGAAGAATCTCTCCTGAAAGCAGCAAATGTTTGTGCTACGGTCTCTTCTCGTAATGGGCCGTATCACATGGAGGGTGCACCATTGTCCGTCTCGCGTGCGGACATGGATGAAAAGGCACAGAGAATGGTGGTCACTTCTGTACAGGAGTCTGTGTTACAATGACCATAATTCTTGTAACTCAGCGACGGACACTATGATGGAGCCAATGTTTTGGTGTGTGGATCATTTTGCAAAGTATATGGGTCCGGTAAGACTATTTCTCTGTGTCTATCCATGTGAGTAGATCATCCATCGGAGGGCATCATCTGTCCGTCCATATGTGTGTGTATGTTGAATACAGTTTATAACATTTGTCCTAACATTTCAGATTATGGTAACAATGGTTGTGTTCCTTACAACAATGGTGGTGGCCATCTTCTATGTCTGTCTCCTGCCACATATTTACTACGAGTCAATGGCAGCTACTGTGTTTCACCTCGTGTTCGGGCACTGGCTGCTTCTTATGATTGTCTTCAACTACATCATGGCATGTTTCACCAGCCCAGGACACCCTCCTGATGTAAGTACACCTGTGCCCAGACACCCTCCTGATGTAAGTACACCTGTGCCCAGACACCCTCCTGATGTAGGTACACCTGTGTCCAGACACCCTCCTGATGTAAGTACACCTGTGTCCAGACACCCTCCTGATGTAACGTACACCTGTGTCCAGACACCCTCCTGATGTAGGTACACCTGTGCCCAGACACCCTCCTGATGTAAGTACACCTGTGCCCAGACACCCTCCTGATGTAGGTACACCTGTGTCCAGACACCCTCCTGATGTACGTACACCTGTGTCCAGACGGCCTCCTGATGTAAGTACACTAGTGTCAAGACACCCTCCTGATGTAAGTCCACCTGTGTCCAGACACCCTCCTGATGTAATGACACCTGTGCCCAGACACCCTCCTGATGTAAGTACACCTGTGTCCAGACACCCTCCTGATATAAGTACACCTGTATCCAGACACCCTCCTGATGTAAGTACACCTGTGTCCAGACACCCTCCTGATGTAATGACACCTGTGCCCAGACACCCTCCTGATGTAAGTACACCTGTGCCCAGACACCCTCCTGATGTAAGTACACCTGTGTCCAGACACCCCCTTGATATAAGTACACCTGTGCCCAGACAACCTCCTGATGTAAGTACACCTGTGTCCAGACACATTCTGATGTAAGTACACCTGTGTCCAGACACCCTCCTGATATTAGTACACCTGTGCCCAGACAACCTCCTGATGTAAGTACACCTGTGCCCAGACACATTCTGATGTACGTACACCTGTGTCCAGACACCCTCCTGATATTAGTACACCTGTGCCCAGACAACCTCCTGATGTAAGTACACCTGTGTCCAGACACCTGATGTAAGTACACCTGTGCCCAGACACCCTCCTGATGTTAGTACACCTGTGCCCAGACATTCTGATGTAAGTACACCTGTGTCCAGACACATTCTGATGTAAGTACACCTGTGTCCAGACACATTCTGATGTAAGTACACCTGTGTCCAGACACCCTCCTGATATTAGTACACCTGTGTCCAGACAACCTCCTGCTGTAAGTACACCTGTATCCAGACAACCTCCTGCTGTAAGTACACCTGTGTCCAGACACATTCTGATGTAAGTACACCTGTGTCCAGACACCCTCCTGATATAAGTGCACCTGTGTCCAGACACCCCTCAGCTTTGAGTACAACTTGCCTATAATGTTTTCTAAATATTTATGAAATATGTTTTTGAGATATTATTAAATAATTAAGCACACCAGCTAATTGACAGTATGACCAGGATGTTGCTTACTGACACGATTCTCTCTGTGCAGAACCTGCCGGAAGTTGTCTCCATCTGCAAGAAGTGCATCTCCCCCAAGCCTCCTCGCACGCACCATTGTAGTGTCTGCCGCCAGTGTGTGCTGAAGATGGATCATCACTGTCGTATCCTTTCTCTTAGTGAATATCAACACATGCTGGGATCAAGGACAACAGATATTGTTCGACCTGTACTCAAATCTTGCAATTCCATTGGTTAATACATACCACTTGATGAAACAATACGTATCAGTGTTCATGTTCAAATCACATGCCTGATTCTGACCGCAAATATTTACCTTGTCATGTGATGAATATTGACATTTGTCTGCTAGAAAACTTAGTGGTGTCTGGTAGTAACATTTCACAGTTAACGGGCTACTGTAATGAAACCAAAGACAGGTTAAGGATTCATAAACTTTATAGGGAACATTAGTATAGATAGAACAAATGATTCATCTTGATAAGATCAATATAGAAAATATAGGACCCAAAGATTATACCTGAGAGATGGTCTGCCCAGACTGTGTCCCATGTTGCTTTTCATGTTTTCTTATACTGACCAATCAAGAGCAATTATTTGTATATTGTATACCCCAAATATAGGTTTCTCGACATGTGTCCACCTAGCCGTCTCAGGCGGTGGGGTAACGTAGTGCTTAAAGCATTCGCTCGTCACGTCGAAGACCCGGCTTACTAAACTAACTCACTTGCCAGCCGTCTCACATAATGTATGGTGTTCACCATTTGCTAGGGACTAACCTTATACCAGATATATTCTGTTCAATATTTCCTGGGGACCATCTTTAACTAATAAATCTCTTGTTGTCATAGTACAAATCTATTCCAACATACGCTGCATGATATTTTCCAGAAACCTGTGCTACTCTGAACATATATTGTGTATACATTTCGTCATTTGTCAGGGATCATCTGATTCTCAGTACACATTCTCCTCCAGCTAGTTTTCCTCAACCCTTGGCAGCGTGGCTGAACAACTGCGTCGGTTTCTACAACCACCGCTACTTCTTCATGTTCTGTGTATACATGTGGACAGGTACCATGTATGTCAGCAGCGTTGGCTACACCCTCTTCAAACAGCACTTCTACGGCACAAAGGTAAGCCTTCTCCCAAGCTTCGATCTAAATGTTATTTACTCTATGCAGTACAAACCTACATTTATTGATTCATAGTTTAATCTTGTATCTATTCTGATTTGAATTCTCCATGTATATTCTTAAAATTTTGCTCTAGTTTTTTTCTAACTGGTGTTGAAATTGAAGTTTTATCTGAAATTAAGTTTAACAGAAATAAGACAGGTCTTTCTTCAGTCATGAAACCAGACAGTCAAGAAAATTCAAGCAATTTTGCAGCCAATTAAGTACTACAATATCATGTCAGGCGATTGCTGCATTGTGACATCCCTAATCACAATAATCCACATTCAAATGGAATATTTACAAGCCATAGAGTAGCATGACGGCAACAGTCGGTTGTTCTTGTTCTGACAGAATGTTTCTGTTTCAGGACATTGTTTTCCCTGGATTAGTTAATCCTCTAAATCTCGCCTGGGATGTTTGGAGTTCCAAAAAGGTAATGTCTAACTATATCTGCAGGGTACAATTCAGGTGTGAATTTTCTCAATGTACCTGGTGCAGTCTTCATTTAAACATGGTGGCATGTTATAGATCTTCCATAATGTACCACCTGCTTTGTGTACCACCTCCATAATGTACTAACCATGCTTGTCGTAAGAGGCGACTAACGGGATTGTGTGGTCAGGCTAGCTGACTTGGTTGACGCATGTCATCGGTTCCCAATTGCGCAGACTCATGCTGTTGATCACTGGATTGTCTTGCTCGCTCGCTCTCACTCGCTCACTCACTCAGAGGTCTTTTCTGTAATATACAGTCCCATGAAACCTGAAGTATTTATTGTGATTTGATGCCTGATTGATGGACAATCAGAATTTAGTATTTTATGTCATCATTAAATGTTGTTTGCATGCAAACAGGTGACACCAGAAGCTGTGGTACCTGTGACAGGGGTGGACTTGTTGACAAGCAGTGTGGACGAGTTCGAGCCTGAACTGAAGGCACAATGGATCCACAATGCCATAATCTTTGAGTTCCTGCTGTGTACAGGGGTGTGCATCGCTCTGGGGCTCCTCACTGTCTGGCATGCACTCATGATCAGCAAAGCAGAAACCAGCATCGAGGTGCACATCAACAAGAAGGAGAGGAAGAGGCTGAAGAAGAAGGGCATGGTAGTGAAGACTTTATCCGTTGTCTAGTGGTAGTGAAGACTTTATCCGTTGTCTAGTGGTAGTGAAGACTTTATCCATTGTCTAGTGGTAGTGAAGACTTGATCCGTTGTCTAGTGGTAGTGAAGACTTTATCCGTTGTCTAGTGGTAGTGAAGACTTGATCCGTTGTTTAGTGGTAGTGAAGACTTTATCCGTTGTCTAGTGGTAGTGAAGACTTTATCTGTGGTCTAGTGTTGGTGCACGGTAGTGAAGACTTCATCTGTTATCTAGTGTTGGGACACGGCATTTTGTTCACAGTGGGAATTACAACCTCTTATTGTCTTCTATTCAGAGGTCCTTTGAAATTATGAATTGGGACATGCAGAAAATGTGGTTGCCCATAACTGGCAAAATGTTACCTGCCCCACCCCTCCACTCCACCCTCACATTGCTGGGGTGTTGCTGTCACTGTGTTATCACCTTAATGCTGTGCATCAGGCAGGGGAATTGTGTTATCACCTTAATGCTGTGCATCAGGCAGGGGAACTGTGTTATCACCTTAATGCTGTGCATCAGGCAGGGGAATTGTGTTATCACCTTAATGCTGTGCATCAGGCAGGGGAATTGTGTTATCACCTTAATGCTGTGCATCAGGCAGGGGAATTGTGTTATCACCTTAATGCTGTGCATCAGGCAGGGGAATTGTGTTATCACCTTTAATGCTGTGCATCAGGCAGGGGAATTGTGTTATCACCTTAATGCTGTGCATCAGGCATTGTGTTATCACCTTAATGGTGCATCAGGCAGGGGAACTGTGTTATCATCACCTTAATGCTGTGCATCAGGCAGGGGAATTGTGTTATCACCTTAATGCTGTGCATCAGGCAGGGGAATTGTGTTATCCCCTTAATGCTGTGCATCAGGCAGGGGAATTGTGTTATCACCTTAATGCTGTGCATCAGGCAGGGGAACAAGAGGTACCATTTTTTAAAGTCTTTTGGTAAGCACCCAGCATTGATTTTTTTCTCAGGCAGACACTCTATCCACTAGACCATGGAAGGGGTCTATAAGTAACAAATTGTTGATATGGTAAACTTTGAGGATCCCTATTATGTCCAGAGCTGACTGTGGAGCATTGTAAAGTTTTCCCTACAAAACCAGCGCTGGTGATAGGGACACCTTTCTCTTTCCGTTCATGATTTCATTATCAAAAGCTGACATTCATATTTCCTAATGTTGCAGATTTTTAAGAATCCTTATGACTTTGGATTTGTACAGAACTGGAAGATCTTCCTTGGTATAGAAAAGGGCAGGTAAGATGTTTCTGCTGCAAAAGATTCTTAATACTCAGTTGAAGGATAACTACAATCTGTTTGGTTGTACTGCTGAATGTGGTATCCTTCTGCAAATATCTCATATTGAGGAACAGGTGGTGTAAGGGACGGTTCATAATTTATGGCTAGGGGCTGGTGATGATTTGTATGGAGGAGCATGTACAATGTGAATGACACACACACACACACACACACACACACACACACACCCTAAAATTTATGTACAAAATAAGTGACCCCCCTTGCATGTCAAGTACAAAATCAATGACCCCCTCCCCTTCCCATAATTTCTAAGCATAATTTTGAACATATTTTTATGTACAAAATTGCTTGAGTAATGCGTGTGTACAAAATTGCTGACCCCTAGTACGCATGGTGTACAAAATTGCTGACCCCCAAGCTCCCCAGAACTAAATGGGTGAAACCCCACTTAAAATCATCATTCTTTCTCCCTTTCTTCCCCCCCCCAGCCATATATTATGAACGGTCCTAAATACCTTTATATTGCTAATTATGACAGCTAGAGAACAGCATACCATAGCACTACGACTGTTGTAAGTGTATGTTAGGTATGCAAGTTACTAAATGCAAAGATGGTTTTGTTCACATGAGAGAATATAAACTAATTCTGTTCGACTCCATTACAAATGGTATGTAACCATAGTAACCATTGTACATCTTGGTAGTTCCAGGTCCTTCTGGCGACACATCCTCTTCCCATCATGCCACTCACCAACAGGAAATGGTCTCACATGGAGAACTGCAACCTATCAGCTGAACAAAGAAGAAAATGGCCTCCGGTTGTTATGACCATGACACACTAGACCAGAATTCTCTTTCAGACTGTTCTTGTGGTTGACATGACTCACTGTGATCATACCCAGATATGCTTTTAAAGGACTTTAGGGATGATATGTGATAAGTGTGCTCAATGTTTTCTCCACACTGCAGGGCAGGACATTCACAGAATTCATGGGAGATTATCGACATATTCATGGGACTTCCAAAGCATAATCACTAAACATTTATAGGACTTTGATTTGGGACATCACAAGACTTGGCCAGGACATCCAGGACATCAACAAGCACTTGGCTAATGGGACATTTCAGATGTTGCTTGACACATGTCAGTGAAGATACAGGTTAGATTGGTCATGCTGTTGACCCATGGATTGTCTGGTCTAGATCTGATTATTAACGGGATCAGTTTCAGATGTTGCTTGACACATGTCATCGTATCCCAGTTACGTATATTGATGCTCATGCTGTTGATCATTGGATTGTCTGGTCTAGATCCGATTATTTACAGTCATCATATAGCTGGAATATTGCTGAGTGTGGCGTTAAACATAAAATGAAAACAACACTGAAGCAAATTCATCACAGTTGACGGGGACATTCACAAGATACATCTGTATGATACCCATATGACTTTCAACAAACATACTGAGGACATTATTAAAACATCCACAGAACATTCACAAGATATCCTAAGGACTTTCACAAGACAGCCAAAGGATATTCACCTCACAAACATCAAAAGGACGTGTTATCCACAGGACTGTTCTGAACATCAACGGGGCAAAGGATTCTGTGTTCTTTGTTGGACTCCCCATTCAACTCAGGTATTTGGCTTCCAGTCTGCTGCAGATACTTTCCTGAGTCACGTCAAGACTGGAAATTTGTGTGACTTTAAAACCATGTGTCTGCATGATTGAGAGTTTGTGTGTCCGTGTTCAACATTCCACCCTCAATTTCATAAAATATAGATCTTTTATACCTTGCTCCGTGAAGGTCATTGGTCATTCCATAGGAGTGTGCATCAGTATACCTGAACCATGAGTACAATGGATGTGTCGGAAGATATTCAGATCTTGTACGTCCTTTCAGGTGCAGATGACATGCTGCACAGAAATGACAGGATGTATGGAGGATCCACAATGTTAGAGCTATACTTTATTATTTTGTATTCGAGAAATCATATGTATCTCTGAAAGTTTAGCTTTCACTCAAAACATTACGGGTAACTGGAGGTTTTCATCATCAAAAATATATTAGAATTCTTGTCCTGTGGAACCTGGGGAAAGAAGAGTAGGTCAAGTTTAGATGACCTCTCTTTTGTGAGGGTCTTTTACAATATTCAGTCTAAGTAAACTCAGGCTCAGTATTATTTGTTACACTGCAGTCTAACAAACCCTAGTAGAAGGTCGCATCAACTAACCTTTTTGACTGGCCATCCAGAACTCAGCTTACCAACTTGTGAAAGTTAACATTTGCACATACCTTTACCTCAAAAACAATTATGAATGCTATTTTCCGCATGATTGCTTCCAAGTGATACACATGGAGGACGCAATGAGTAAACAGTTGCTGAACATTGCGGTTTTTTGTCAATATTCAAGGAAGTCATCCTGCGGAAATGTAAGCTAATAGTAACCATGTTATTAGAAACGGCACCCAGGGAAGAGAAAATCCAAAAATCGTTTTGTAAGTCCCGCCAAACCCTAACAAGTAGTTGTGTGATTGGTTAAGTCTGTTCGACTGTCTCACATTTGATTGGATGGTCATAGGTCGCGAAAAGGTTAGCTGACATGACTAGGGTTTGTTAGACTCAGTATAGCAGTGTAACAAATAGGTTACTTAGACTGTTACAATATTCAAATTAACAATCAAATCAAGTTGAGCTACTTAATGTCAATAGACCTGAAATTGATCATCTGATAAGTATCTTAGAAGTCATGCTGATTGTTGTCCATATACATTTCTATGTGATATTGTTATGGTGTTTATAAAATAACAAGTACAATGTAAGCAAATTACTTGTGTTTATGATATGTATACTGGTACATGTACCAATCTGATGTTCAGCGAACAGTGTTGAGCTTTCAGTCATCACAAGCGGACAATACAACAGACAGTAGTTCCTGAATTATGAAATTTATTGAAATCCCACACACAATTCATACATCAATGTTAGTCTAAACCTTCAAGTTATCAGCAGGTACAGGTAGAGGTTCTGCCATCAGTGTCAGACTTGAAGGTAGGTCGTCTTGTGTCCGCATAACACCTTGCATGTAACATGAAAACTACCACATCTCATATCTCACAACAGAATGGTCCACTTCATTCTCAGGATTACTGAAGAAATTTAATGAAGGAATGTTCAATAAAACAGATATGTGTGTGTTATTTGTCAATATTCCTCACTAAAATGCTGACTAGAAGAAATCTGAATTGAATTTGCACTCTAGAACAGGGGTGGAATTAACTTTAAAATTGCTAGTGTACTCCGGTACAGTGGCACATGTAAAATCACTTGCCCTGATAATTTTTCCACTATACCGGCCGTTTTCTTGTTGATGTTTTAAATAAACAACATAATTAACATTGGAACATCAACTGGACACCGGTACAGTGTGATATACAAATTTGCTTGCCTGACAGAAAAAAACACTTGACTCGGGCGTGGGGCAATGGGTTATTTCCACCCCTGTAGAACTTTGCACTTACATGACTACAAGTGCATTTATCCTGAAAACATTGAGTAAGCAACAGCTGGATTGCATATTGTTGACAAATAGCATACACATATTAATGTTTCTGAATACTCATTAGTTATTTAGTTTAGTTGTTTCTGTTACCAGACTCACAAACACTGTGTCAACACTGTCTTTACAAGTAACACTGTCAATGCTTGAGGACCAGCCAACCTGAATGGGCACTGAAGGTACCCAGATACGGGAGTTTCACTGATGTGGGCAATGAGTTTTACTGAGGTGCTGCCTCACCTCCAGTTAATGTCATTACATCAAGTCATCCTCTGTTCTAGGTATGAAATATAGAATGGTACTTCCATTCAGCCCCACAAACATTTGACATCAGCCATAACCATGTGTAACAACACTTCAAAAATATCCCTCTGATCAAACCATACCAATTTTGGATATGATTTAACACACATCAGCTTCAATCAGGCCCAATGATGGATAAGACACACCACATGCTATCTTCAATCATGCATACCAATGTTGGACATGATTTGATGCATGCCATGCCTTCTTCAGTCTGACCAATGTTGGACATGGTATAACACATGATTTAACACATCTTTAGTCTGGACCAATGTTGGACATGATTTAACACATGCCTTCTTTACTGACCAATGTTGACATGACATGATTTAACAATGTTGGACATTTGCCTTCTTTAGTCTGACCAATGTTGGATATAACACATGCCTTCTTTAGTCTGACCAATGTTGGACATGATTTAACACATGCCTTCTTTAGTCTGACCAATGTTGGACATGATTTAACACATGCCTTCTTCAGTCTGACCAATGTTGGACATGATTTAACACATGCCATCTTCAGTCTGACCAATGTTGGACATGATTTAACACATGCCATCTTCAGTCTGACCAATGTTGGACATGATTTAACACATGCCATCTTTAGTCTGACCAATGTTGGACATGATTTAACACATGCCTTCTTTAGTCTGACCAATGTTGGACATGATTTAACACATGCCTTCTTTAGTCTGACCAATGTTGGACATGATTTAACATGCCTTCTTTAGTCTGACCAATGTTCAATGTTGGACATGATTTAACACATGCCTTCAGTCTGACCAATGTTGGGACATGATTTAACACATGCCATCTTCTACATGACCAATGTTGGACATGGTTTAACAAGGGCTGTCTTAAACAAGCCATACCTATATTGGACATGACACAATGCACGACATCTTAAATTGGCCATACCAATATTTGTCATCAGTCAGTGCATGATATGTGCGATCAGACATACTGATGCTGGACAAGACTTCATGCATGCCATCTTAAACCAGCCATACCAATATTGTGCGTGACACAATGCTATTTTTGATCAGACAAACCAATGCTGGCCAGCACTTAATACATGTTATCTTCGATCAGGCATACCTATGTTTGACATGGTTTGTTCAAGGTAAGCTAGGGGCCCTGGTTGGTATGCTGGTGGAGGTTGAGGGGGAGGCATGACGAAGGGCTGGGGGACAGTGCCTGGCATGGGGGGGCCTGGGTACGGGGCCATGCCTGGGTGCTGTTGTGGGTGCATGGGCTGGGGAGGTGGTGGTTGTTGCATCTGTGGGGGCTGTTGCTGGTGAAGGGAGGGTTGCTGGGGTGTCCCGGTGCCAGGCATGTTACGGAGGAGGTTCTGCCAGTGCTGAAGACGTTCATGGTGTTTCTCAATCAGCTTCTCTTTTCTCTCAATCTCACTCTTCAAGTCTGCAATGTCCTGAAACAGTGAAATTGTCATGTAACTTTCATTTGTTGATATGACTGGGATAAACATAGGCCCTCAAGATGTTTAAGTATGCCCATTGGAATCTAAGTATGCCTAGAAGAAGAATATGTTTGAGCCATAATGAACATAATGAATGGCAACATACAGAGATTGCCCACATAACTGTGAACTTTGTTGTTATAGGCTGTAAGGGTCATGGAATGAGGGGGTTATGGGGAGATATTATCCATGGAAATGTTGAACACAGTGATGAATGTTGTTTTCACTACTGATGTTCCGATGATTGAAAATAATCGAAAATCGATCGAAAGAAGGATTAAAAATTATTAACAAACATGCGCTCAGCAGCGTAAAGCTATGCACATTGTAAAATTTTAACCACTTTTATTGTTTAATTACAATTCCAGTGTCTTTCTTGCATGCGTGCATTTCATTGCATGACAGCATTAGTTATAAACAAAACCATTATTTAGAAAAAAACTGGGGAAAAACCCTTAACATTGGTGATTACATTAAAAATGTATATATTTCGATTATAATCGATAATCGTTCACCACAATCCTCCAATAATCGATAGTGGATTTGGTTTCCGATTCCCAACACTAGTTTTCACTGCAATCAGCAATATTTCAGCTTCAAGTATTTGTTGCCAGGCAATGATTTTAGATTACTCTTACAACCAATATCGGTTGCTAGGCATATATTCTGCTGTGGACGTATTTAGTCAGCAAGAATATACAGAGTGATGACACATCACATAGTACAGCCACTTTAGACTGCTCCACATCGCCAGAGACACTCACCTCCTTCAGCACCTGCTCCGGTTTCTCTGTAGACATGATCAGTCTCTGGCTCAGGAAATATGCTTCTGTCTGACGAGCTAAATCCAGGAACTTGGATATTGTGTGATCCACCCCTGCAACATATACACATCACATAGTCAGATACTGTTCAGGGATTTATCTATGATTCAAACTATGTGCCATGTACATGCAAATTAGCACAAACTTGTGTTCATATTTTTATTGATTCTGGGCAATTGGGAAATATTATTTTGATCTGGAATTTTTTTATATCATTGGCCGCAGACTTGGGGCCGATCATCGGCCTCTGAACAGGTTAAGATACATCTTTGCTGTTACATGTCTCTGCAGTTTAGAGGTCTGTAATTAAGAAATACAGTTCGCGTCTACCACTATGTATAGTGTAATAAATGGTGGTAGAGCGGACTGTATTTATTTTCTAAGATGCAAAATTTAATACTTTCTAAGGATAATTACGATTAATCTAAGGCAGAAAACAAACGACGGTGCCAGTGACCTAAATCAAGAATCTTCGCACAGGGCTAACTGATGTGCTGTTCTATTGACATGTCTGCCCCCCAACATTAAGACGAACGTTACCAGAAATGCAAATGATAAACAGTTTGATGACGGTTTACATTCGGATTAAATATCTTCTCTAAATTATTTTAGTTACATCTGGGATTGACGTAAACCATATGGGGCAATATGAGCGTCGCATTTCTACTACCAACGTAAGTTTAGATCAGTACATCCAGATGAAGCTGACCAGTCAAGCGACATTCCACGATTGCATTGTGGGAATGTAAACATTGCGAACGTTACTGTTACTGAGACATTTTATCCATCGGAAAACATAAACATAATGTTTCCACCAGTGATGTTAGCTGAATGAAGCAACTGCAAACCAAGAAACAGGATGCAACGGAGTAGTCAACGGTAGGAGGCTGTACGAAGCGATGACAACTGACATGCATCGTGACGTCGGTTACATTGTTACGTAATGCAAAAGTGTTCTGTTACGAGGGGGCAGACTAGAATGGCGCAGTGACGCCAATACATTGTGACGTAATGCAAGAAGTGCACATCATCGTCTGATAAAGTACTGTCGGTACCTTTGATCATTCACCGAAGCATCTTAGAATCCCACATAGGTTTCAGTCCAGACTTGTTTGTATGCCATCTGTTGAAGCAGCAGTCATACTGGGAAACCCATATTAGCACATACACGTACCAGTGCTCTGCCATTTATACATATGGTTTTGTCATGGTTTAGAAGGCTTTAACAATATTTCACGTCTGGCATTGATCTCATTGCTATTTTACTGCCCTTGTAATTCTGTTAAAATTAGGAATAGAATGTTACCATTAACATAAGAAAAGCTTAATCAAGCTAAGACAACAGTGTCAGTTTTTATCCCTGAAATCAATCTGTATTTAACTTTGAACGGTATTTCAACCATAATGTGGTAAGTGAGCTTTATATGGGTGGAAAGCCAGGTGTGATGAATCATGTTCTATCAATGCCATAACCAACCTAACCATCTGGTCTAATTTAGTCGCCTCTTGGTTTCAAACCTAACCAGTAATTCCAGACATGGTTAGCACCATGAATACTCAACAGAGCCAACTCAGGGAAATATGAATCTAACAGTTTCAGATATATAAAGTGCATGGCACTAAACATGAAACTGCATCACTCATTCATTTCTTTTTGTAAAAAATATTTTGGTCAACCCAAAAGGATTCTGTGTCCCCATGAATGCCTACCTGTCTTCGTCTCTTCTGAATCAACAACATTGAAATGCTCCTGGGTTGTCACCAAGGCAAGGCAATTCTGAAACCAAAAATACACCTTTAGGATCAGTAATCCCACAGCTGTCCTAAATATACAGTGATATCTCTATGCAAATAATGTGGACCCAATTGCTGAGATAGGTGCATTTGGGAAGTGATGTCACAATGTCCATCTCTCTCATCAAGCAACATGGAAAAGAATTTATCTGTATGTTGATAGTGAGACTATTTGGGCATAAATCTCATTATAATCAGGCTCTAAACTTAGTTGTATTTGCCATCATACAATGGAGATAGCACATTGTGGAATATCAGTTTAAAGTATTTATCATCATAACATTGATAAGATTCTGGCAAATGGAAATTGTTCCTCCACTAAACAGTGTACCATCTTTTATGTTTTGTGGGATTTAGAGACATAAATTAAAAGTGAATACTGGATATAATGTGTACTCTGTTGTAATGAAATTGATCATATAAAAATACTACACCCCATAACATGTTATATATTTTTTTTTATAAGATATTTATATAGCGCAAATATCCATGCAACTAGTACATGCTCAAGGTGCTGATATTTTATCCCCTCGATCATTGGATGTCAATCTCAACGGCACATTGTATTATCAATCTCAACTCCCCGGGGATCATACAACCCTTGCAAGCCAATATGTGCACCAAGTTATTGCAGCTTTCTCATCCTTACAATGGTACCCATTCACAGATGGGTGGATTGGGACATAGTCACAGTATTTTGACAAAGTTTACTGTACGTTGCTGTACCCTAACTAGGTGTTTGCACGTATTCATATGGCCACCATCTGGTCATATATCAACGGATTTGTGGGTTCTTTTAAATGCACAGGGTTGTGTACTGTACACTAGGGGTTGTGACAACATTGAAAGAGTCTGCACACAAAGTTGACTCCAATGATTTTACACCCGGTCACAGGTGGGCTCAATCCCAACACCTCAAGCTCGCTGGGTCACTAGCCTGGAGTCTTAACCATGACCACCATAGTGAGTGAATGAGTTTAGTTTTACGCTGCACTCACCAATATTCCAGCTATATGGCGGCGGTCTGTAAATAATCAAGTCTGGACTAGACAATCCAGTGATCAACAGCATGAGCATTGATCTGTACAATTGGGAACCGATGACATGTGTCAACCAAGTCAGTGAGCCTGACCACCCGATCCTGTTAGTCGCCTCTTACGACAAGCATGGGCATGACCACCATATATATGATTTACTATGACTCATATGATTTCATGTTTAAGTGGTTTCATATTATCACATCACACATTATGTGGATGTAACATATGCAGCTGCCTTATGCTGTCACTCTATCATTGATTATTAAATATACAGTTTTACGATGATGGGTTTCTTGAACTTAAATGACATAACAACAGAGTTGGATCAATTCCTTTAAAAAGATAACTAACACATGAACACCACGGTGCCCAACCCCAAGATTAGTAAGGCATGGGGTCCTTCGTTGGAATTTATTATTTAAGGGCTAAAGTTCGGAGTATCCCATGCAAACACTAAACTAAGGATTGGGGAGTCACAGGAGATCGATAAAGAGAGAACCACATCCTGAGCCAATTAGCGTATGCTGCGTCTGGTGAACTGCATTTTTCATACCGTACTAGTCGTGTTGTTGAAGTGGTTTCCTACTAACTTTGTTAACACTGGTCCCTTGTTTCTAAGACCACGAGTTGCTAATAGGAAACATTGTGCACCCGGTAACGACCAACTGCTCTAGATCGGCTGTGGACAACATACAATTTATTACAGGCTCATGACAGTTGTATCAGCAGTGCCAATAAGTGACTGCATGATAAGTGACTGCATGATCATCTGAAATGTTCAACTCCAAAAGTCAGGGCTAAGAAAACACATGGTAGCGCATGTCCAGTCAAATTCAATCAATGTTTCCATCAACATTTAAGTTGTAGGGGCGTAAGAAAACAAATGTCGTGTGTCTGAACCTGAAACGCTGTCTCCAAATCATCAATGATGTGAGATTGGCCTCCATCGCTTGTGGAGGCGGCCATGTTTCGGTAAACAATAAAAGCTTCGGTATTCACCGGTAACGTTCGGATTATTCCGCCACGTGAGGGGCGAGTCAACCGTTTATCCAGCAAGCGATTTTAAGTGGACGTATAACCGAGGTCATTGCGGTCAACTCTTTGTTTACTTCCGGGTTTATCTGTGTCGAGGGACCCTATTCACTTTCTTCTGTAACGAGTTCGAAATTTCTAACAGCTTCTGTTTCTCGGAAACATGACGATTAATATGTTGTTCTATTGATGATCTGATTTATCAGTCTTAATGGAAATCTGATGTTATACGAATTCTAAAGAAAACCTGGAACATTTTTCTGTCGATACCTGTGTGGCTTGTGTAAGGAACCCGGAAGCGTCTTTAAATTGGGTTTTAATACGTGTCTCCTTGCAACTTAGGGCGTGTCGTGATTAGAACTCCACATGACAGAGTGACAGAGACAACTGACAGATCCTCCCAGTAGTTTGAAGTCACGTCATATACTGAAATCTGTTCACTGTCATTGGGTGGTTCGGACATATCTACTTTCCGATTTGTATCCTGTATATAACTCACCGCATCCTGCAAGGGCAGTTGACATAAACAAACAGTTCTGAAAGCGGAGAAATAGTTTCAATTTTTTTGTAACAATGCCCTCGAGTACAAGTAGGAGTTCAGGGCGAAATCGTGAGGGAGGCACGAGACGAAGTCGATCCAGAGCAAGATCTCGTACCCGACACAGAGAATCAAGAAACCATTCACAGAGTCATACTCATAGCCGATTTCGCTTCAAGATCAAGGAGAGAAACTATCCGGCAGCAGTATGCAGCATGATGACGATTGTGCTATTGTGTGTGTCAATGGCTGAACCCCGGTGGATATCACTACGGGGAAGGGGCTGCAGCTTAGCCGACACTAAGGATGGCTATCTTCACTCCCTGGGTGTCATCCAGTTCTTCTACAGTGGCAAACTCGTTACCGTGGACAAGTCTATACAGTACCATTACGGTTCAAATCCAGATGAAGGTATAGTTATCATTTCAGAATTATCAGCATTTGTAAGGGACCGTTCATAATTTATAGGTAGGGGTGGGGGGATAATCATTTTTTATGGAGAAGCACGTGAATGACACACACACACACACACACACACACACCAAAAAATATATATATATATGTACAAAATAAGTGACAGACTCCAGAGTATAGTGATAGGTAATTGGATCAATGTTGTTAGTGAAAACACTTGTCAATGAAGTTTTAGCAGATTTTGATTTTTCTTTGTTACACAGGATGGTCAGTCACCCCATCATGTGTAGTCACACTTAAAGGGGGATAACAGTTCCTTCTTTCTGCTGTTTTGTTGCGCATTTTGAAAACATCATTTGTGAATGAATTTATGAATTTTTGTGAAGAATTTAGGTGAGGTGAGGTGAAATTGGGTTTAACGTCGTGCTTGAGAATATTTCGCTCATATGATGACGTGCATGCGAGTATATGTGCTTGTACTAGCCCAGACTTAAGCTGGTTTTATAGTGCTAGCTCACCGAGATACCATGCTGCAGTGAAGCATGAATACCCCACTCAGACACATTACCGTATACTGACTCTGAGCCGACCAGTCCTTGTTGTACCCATTAATGCGAGAGCCAGGCAGGGACCAACAAGTACCATATTTTAACGTCTTTTGGTATGACACGGTCGGGGATCGAACCGAAGAAATTAGGTATAATGCTACAAATAATAAGGAAACTTGTAGATGTTTTACCCAATATAAGGGAATATATATTTGATTTCTAGGGTTGGGATGAAATATATCAATATATATGACTATTATATATAGATCAGAAATATGCCCAAAATGAATGTTTTAAGAAAATAGCACAATGTAAATAAAATCAGTTGATCATGAAAGTGAACTGATTGCTCAAGAGGAGAAAATAAGATAGTTCTGCCAGTTATGTCATAGTGTGAAATGTTACCATGGTTATTCTTTCTTATCATTTTATTGCTAGGATAGTGTTTTAGGAGACTACCTGAAATAGACTCACTTAACGCTGACTGTTGCCATATACATGACGGAAACTGTCTTTGCAGTGTTGATAAACTGTGTGGATAGCAAGTCGGTGCTGCTCTTCAAGATCGTAATCTTCTTCTGTTTCTTGACGATTGTGTTCGGTATGGCTTCCTTCCTGCTTGACTTAACAGGGCCATCCGGGAGAGTTCTGCAAAGGTTTCATCGTAATGCAATCTTCAGCATTATTACAGGTAGGCACAAAATGGTACCACAGTAAGAGCCGAAACTTACAATAGATAAACCTTACCATTGATAAATAGAGAATACTTAACGATGTCCCGTGTAATGCCTTATTTATGAAACTCGTGAATGGTTTGGTATCTAACGAGTGAAAGCGAGTTACATACCAATACCATTCACGAGTTTCTTAAATATGGTATTACACGGGACATAGTTTAGTATTTTATTTATTACTCACCCAACATTAGCGAACTAATATCGAGCAAACTATTTCTTTCCTGAGAATTCAGCGAGTGAGATGACTCTCAGCTTTCCGGAAGTCGAGCCAGGTCTAATACTATTGTGACAGAGGTATTAGTATTGTGACGTCATAACTGTAAACCAGTTTTACGTCATACGTATGGCACCACGTGATGTTATTACACAATGTGTAATAACATTGTAAAATTATTAAACAGTGATATCTTCAATGGGTGAGTAATAAATAGTAAATTGCCATGCTGATCAACAGTTTTGCTGACCTTGCTATAATGCTAAATATACAAACGTACAGCAAGTAGTGTTATATTGTACCATGGTTATGATGTCACTTTGACTTTGACTTAGAGCATGTGTTTGATACTTTTCAGTGATTGTGTGTGAAGATTCAGTAGGTCTTTTATTTGTTTCAATGACCCTGCAAACTGTTATCAATATGTTTCACATGTTTCAGTGAAATATTATGTTTGTCTGGAATGTTTCAGTGGTCCTGTGTGTGGTTATCAACCTGTTCTGCTACTGGATATCTTTCCTTGTTGAAAACATTCAGAAGAAAACCAAGATGGATCACGTGGAAGTCAACTTTGACATCAGTTTCTACTTGGTGGCAGCAGCAGGAAGTGCCTCAGTGTTTGCCGTGGCATGTAACTGTTTCTTTCAGCCGACGCTACCCTGTGCGTGAAGACGTCTCATACCAGCGCCTCAATGAATGTGATGACATGGAGTCCCTAGCAGCTCTGTACGACCAGCAGACAGCCCCACCCCAACACCTCCCCACCCCCATATTCTCCATCCCCTGACACACCATCACCAGGGGTGACACCCACCCCACAGGCGTCAGCTGCTTCGGAGTCTCTCAATGTCAGTGTATAGCAGGAAACCAGTCTCAGATGATGTGCTAGGTAAAATAGAGAATGAAGCATCACAGTGTTACACAGGCTACAGCCAACACACATTCATATTCATTTTCAAAGACCTGACATATATTGTTAGAGGTTTTGAGTGGAAAGATGATGGTCATGAATATATATGATAGGATTTTAATGAATTGGTCACAATAAATGAACATTATATTTTAATCTGATATTTAAAAAATGAAAATCAGGATTTTACAGAAACTGTTGACGGATGTGACTTTAATGAAGCATGCTTTGACAATGTATTTTGTATATTTAATGAAGTTAAGGAAGAAGTCTGTTGGCATTGATGACAACTATATAATGTGTGGCAGGGGTTTTGGTAGGGAGGTGGGTGGGAATGAACATCTAAGATTTAATATGTTATTGCTTTAGGGATGAAAGAAATATACAAGAGAGAATCATTATTTATTGTTTTGGTTAAATATTGGGAAAATCGCTTTCATGACTACCATTGTTACCTTGTTTTAGAGGTTCATATAATATGGGGAGGAACAGCTCTTTTCTGTACAAATCCCTGAAGATTTGTGAAATATGTTTCGATGGGAGAAATGTTAAGTTTCTTATCCTTAAGTATAACACCAGTAGGTCTGATCATGCTGATCTGAAATATTGGTTAAATAAGAGCTCTTCTTGTCACAAATATGATGCACTCTGCTTTTATCTATATCTATGGTACAATATCCAGTTTATAGACACAGACACACACACACAGAGTACCCTTTATGTAGCCATATGAATGGTACTGTACCCTGTTGAAAGCAATATGTATCATATTGTCCTTTTTGTAGTGCAGTATGTAGCATAATGTACCCTTTGTAGGGCAATATGTCATATACTGGCTTCTTTTAGGGCTATATTATCAGTGCCTCTTTGCAGGGCAATATGCATCATACTGTTTTCTACACAGGGCAGTATCACCATCACCACTATTGTTACATTCCTTATATGGACTGAATTGTGTATATATTCTGAGGTACCTACAGTTTACCAATCCCAGTGAAGTGTGATAATATGTATGTATTTTATATATGTACTGATTGATGAACATGTTGAAGATCTGGAAATTCTAACCCACAAGTTGTTGTATTGTTTATTGTTGGTTGTGATCAAATGATCATATTACATTATCTTGTTTATAGAACTATATTTTCATATGATGTAGTCAGCTTAATCTCTTTTGCAAGATTAAGACCTTAGGATCTGGTTACCATGGCAACACCCACTGAATGTCAAGCCATGCAATGAAACACTGTCTGCAATGTGACTGTAATGTGAGGATATGTTTGACAATCAGATGTGTGAACACTCAACACTTTCATTCAGAGGCTCCAGACTGTTGTGGTCCCAACACATGTACCTGATTTAGTTTATATCTGTATCAAGGACAAAACCACTGCTGTTTGTAAACAGTTGGATCTTGAAATTACCTAAAGGTCATACAGGAAATTAAAAAAAGGTGAAAAACATTCATCTGGACATTAAGGTAAACATCATATTGCCAGATATAAGCATGATTTATTCAGTGTATTACCTCCTTATTGTCCATCTTAATCTTATCTAATGTAAATGTTTCTTTGATGTTGAATTATTAATAAAGTATCAATATTCATAAATGTGCATCAATACAGTATCATTAAGAAATGTAGGACATTGCGATATATGACATCCCCAGTTAAAACCGGCCATTTAATCCCTGATGTGTTCCAAGACTTGCGCTTCCATTATCTGTGTGTATAAACAGTGGTGACAGGGTCAAGTGCCAAACCCTCAACACCAACTCATTTCTTGCTTTAAAATTTGTTTGTATTTTATTTAGTAGTAGTAGTTCATTTTTTGGGTGGGGAATTTCATATATATTTTTCAACCAACTACATGGAATTTAGTTGGCCATCATTTTTTAAACCTATGAATAGAAAAAAGGAAAGCAGATTTAGTAAGATTATGTTGACAATGTTTCAAGCTTCATTATTGATGTCTTGATACCACAGGACACAATTCTCGTATCATGGTACATGTGGTTGCGTGTAGTCCTGTGCTCAAAGCTCAGGTCACAAATCGGTGAAGTTAAGCAGCGTCGTTGAGCTCAAGAGTCCTTGGATGGGTGACCGTGTTTGGCAGCTTGACTCCTGAGAGTTTCTAGGACTTGAGTCCTGCCCCAAAACGAAGCACATGTGACACATGTGGTCTCACCTTAGGCAAGTGAGTTTGTTCAAAATTGTATCTGTTCACCCAGCAGGAAAATGGGTACCCGGTGGAAAAAGTCATATGACTATAAACCTTCTAGCGCCTAACAGGCAGCTTGGGTTATCGGGGTAATAATGTGCTGTGCCTTGATTGTTAGCGCTATGAGCATACCTAGTGTGGAGTTTGGCGCTATATAAATGGACACTCATTATCACTCCATGGTACTCAGTGAATCATGGCAGCCCTAGTAATGCCTCCTACTAGGGCGTTGCTTGAGGTCCTGTGTCATGTCATTGTGAAATTGGTCAGACAGGAAACTCTGTGTCAACAGGATCATTAGCTACCCAGACAAAGGCTTGTTGTCCACATTTGTATGGGAGGTCTCAACACACACTAGGTCTTCTTATACTTCCTGTATAATGGATCCTGGTGAAGTGATCGTCCGATCTACCTCACGAAATGTACCTGCTACACTTATACAAAAGTGGATTTTTCTGCAAGACTGAAATAGTCGGCAGTAGCCTACATTCCATCATCCGTGTGAGACGTCTATGATTTTGACTGTTGTTAATTTCTAGTGCTTCACCGCCGTGATATTGCTGGAATATTGCTAAAAGCGGAGTAAAACTAAACTCAGTCAGTCAGTCTAGTGCTTCAAGTTTCTCTGTATCTCTGTTTGATCTAAACCTTGTATTTCTCTTTCTCTGGGTCTGTCTCAGTAAACAGAATGACCCCAGGTCACCATAAACAAATTCTTGCCAGGTCCCTATACACAGACACACCCGAATTTCATGTAAATGCCCCAACTTACATCTCTGGATACAGCTTCACCTCTTGAGATCCCTGTACACACTCTCACTCAGTAAACAGTGATGCTAACAGCCCTGCTCCATGTCCTGTCAATACAGTAACCCCCACACCGGTAGATGTAATGTACGTATGCTAACCCAGCTGATCACGCCAGAAGGTGCATGTATACAGACATACATATATCTACCTACATGGATTTCCCTTGTTAACAGTTCTCTGTGGTGACTGCTGATCAAGAAATAAAACAGCAAACAAAAACAGGAGCATAGGAACATTGTCGTTCCTATCTGCCGTAAGTATTCACAGACCTACAGTCTAGTAGAGTCAGCTGTGCCCTCACTGTACTTATCCACTTATGCACCATATAGTTTCTGTTTAAGGTTTTTAGTCCTCTCTGACTATTGAAGCACAGTGTCGATATCAGCTGAATGACAAATGTAACGACACTACAACAAGATCGTTGTGCTGATGTTTTGTTGTTATCAGGGTGTTGTCCATTGTTCACATGGCAGATCTGAGATGAATGGAGGACTGTGTAGATATGTATATATTTGTTAAATCAGAAACTACACTTATTATCAATTGTTATCAATATTCAAGACTTATGGAATAAATTTTATATTACAGATTGCATTACATAGACTTATTGTTCTTTTGGGAATCAACAGCAGCACATGTGCCAATCAGCAAATGTGTGTCCATAGTTGGATACAATAAGACAGTTGTTTACCTAATCTCTCTGTGTATTAGATCACATGCTCCAACATGCAAGCAAATACCTGTGTATCAGATCCCAGCCAATAACTTGGGTGTTAATACTTGTGTATAAGCACAGGCTCCATCATAGTAGTAAATACCTGTGTAAAGACCACATGCTCAAACATGGTTGTCAATACATGTGTACCGACCACAGGCTCCAAAATGGGACTAAATACCTGTTAATTCCATCACAGGCTCTAACTTGGGTGTTAATACCTATGTACAAGAACCAAGGCTCAAACATGGCAGAAAATACTTGAGTGCAGTAGCCAGGCTCTGGGTGAAAACACCTGTGTACAAACCTAAGACTCCCTAATGGTAATAAATGCCTTTTGAAAAGACAATGGGCTGCATCACATAAGTTAAAACCTGTGTACAGACCACAGGCTCCAACAGGGTGGAAATACCTGTGTACAGACCACAGGCTCCAACAGGGTAGTAAATACCTGTGTAGCAGACCACCGGCTCCAACATGGTTGTAAATATCTAAGTAAAAGCCACAGGCTCCACATGGTAGTAAACACCAGTGTACAGACCACAGTCTTCATCATGGTGTGTACAGACCACAGGCTCCATCATGGTGTGTACAGACCACAGGCTCCATTATGGTGTGTACAGACCACAGTCTCCATCATGGTGTGTACAGACCAGTCTCCAGCACGGTAGTAAACACCAGTGTACAGACCACAGTCTCCATCATGGTGTGTACAGACCACAGGCTCCATCATGATGTGTACAGACCACAGTCTCCATCATGGTGTGTACAGACCACAGTCTCCATCATGGTGTGTACACACCAGTCTCCAGCAAGGTAGTAAACACCAGTGTACAGACCACAGTCTCCATCATGGTGTGTACAGACCAAAGGCTCCATCATGGTGTGTACAGACCACAGTCTCCATCATGGTGTGTACAGACCACAGTCTTCACCATGGTGTGTACAGACCAAAGGGTCCATCATAGTGTGTACAGACCACAGTCTCCATCATGGTGTGTACAGACCAAAGGCTCCAGCACGGTAGTAAACACCAGTGTACAGACCACAGGCTCCATCATGGTGTGTACAGACCACAGTCTCCATCATGTTGTGTACAGACCACAGGCTGCATCATGGTGTCTACAGACCACAGGCTCCATCATGGTGTGTACAGACCACAGGCTCCATCATGGTGTGTACAGACCACAGTCTCCATCATGGTGTGTACAGACCATAGGCTCCATCATGGTGTGTACAGACCACAGTCTCCATCATGATGTGTACAGACCAAAGGCTCCATCATGGTTTGTACAGACCAAAGGCTCCATCATGGTGTGTACAGACCACAGTCTCCATCATGGTGTGTACAGACCACAGTCTCCATCATGGTGTGTACAGACCACAGGCTCCATCATGATGTGTATAGACCAAAGGCTCCATCATGGTGTGTACAGACCAAAGGCTCCATCATGGTGTGTACAGACCACAGTCTCCATCATGGTGTGTACAGACCACAGGCTCCATCATGGTGTGTACAGACCAAAGGCTCCATCATGGTGTGTACAGACCAAAGGCTCCATCATGGTGTGTACAGACCACAGTTTCCATCATGGTGTGTACAGACCACAGGCTCCAGCATGGTGTGTACAGACCACAGTCTCCGTCATTGTGTGTACAGACCACAGTCTCCATCATGGTGTGTACAGACCAGTCTCCAGCACGGTAGTAAACACCAGTGTACAGACCACAGTCTCCATCATGGTAGTAAACACCAGTGTGCAGACCAAAGGCTCCAGCACGGTAGTAAACACCAGTGTACAGACCAGTCTCCATCATGGTGTGTACAGACCACAGGCTCCATCATGGTGTGTACAGACCACAGTCTCCATCATGGTGTGTACAGACCAAAGGCTCCATCATGGTGTGTACAGACCAAAGGCTCCATCATGGTGTGTACAGACCACAGTCTCCATCATGGTGTGTACAGACCACAGTCTCCATCATGGTGTGTACAGACCACAGTATCCATCATGGTGTGTACAGACCAGTCTCCAGCACGGTAGTAAACACCAGTGTACAGACCACAGTCTCCAACATGGTGTGTACAGACCAAAGGCTCCATCATGGTGTGTACAGACCACAGGCTCCATCATAGTGTGTACAGACCAGAGTCTCCATCATGGTGTGTACAGACCACAGGCTCCATCATGGTGTGTACAGACCACAGGCTCAATCATGGTGTGTACAGACCACAGGCTCCATCATGGTGTGTACAGACCACAGTCTCCATCATGGTGTGTACAGACCACAGTCTCCATCATGGTGTGTACAGACCAGTCTCCAGCACGGTCGTAAACACCAGTGTACAGACCACAGTCTCCATCATGGTGTGTACAGACCACAGGCTCCATCATGGTGTGTACAGACCACAGGCTCCAGCATGGTGTGTACAGACCACAGTCTCCATCATGGTGTGTACAGATCACAGTCTCCATCATGGTGTGTACAGACCACAGTCTCCATCATGGTGTGTACAGACCACAGGCTCCAGCACGGTAGTAAACACCAGTGTACAGACCACAGTCTCCATCATGGTGTGTACAGACCACAGGCTCCAGCACGGTAGTAAACACCAGTGTACAGACCACAGGCTCCAGCACGGTAGTAAACACCTGTGTACAGACCACAGGCTTCATATCATGGAGTGTACAGACCACAGGCTCCAGCACGGTAGTAAACACCAGTGTACAGACCACAGTCTCCATCATGGTGTGTACAGACCACAGGCTCCAGCACGGTAGTAAACACCAGTGTACAGACCACAGGCTCCAGCACGGTAGTAAACACCAGTGTACAGACCACAGGCTCCAGCACGGTAGTAAACACCTGTGTACAGACCACAGGCTTCATATCATGGTGTGTACAGACCAAAAGCTCCATCATGGTTGTAAATACCTGTGTTTATACCAAAGGCTCCATCATGGCTGTAAATACCTGTGTACAAGCCACAGGCTCCATCATGGCTGTAAATACCTGTGTACAAACCACAGGCTCCATCATGGTTGTAAACACCTGTGTATCAGACCACAGGCTCCAAAATGGGAGTAAATGCCTGTGTAGTAGATGACAGGCCCAACATGGTAGTAAATACTGTTTAACTTCTGTACACAGGAATATATTCTACAAATTCAACATGCTCATCAAAGAATATATTATTTCCTCACTCCTAAGCCTCATTAACTTCACGGAACCAGACAGATAATGTCATGATATCATCCTCTGGTTTGGCTGATACAGACTCCAATTAGTGCATGCTCTGCTGATATACCAGATATATCTATGATCCCACTCCTCTGGGGCACCGAGGTCTTAAAACAGAGTTGCTTCCCTTAGGCCATCCTCACACCTCTGGTCATGCGTTCAAATCCAAACTACACCCTGTATATAATAACGGGTTTAGGCTAAAACGGAACCACAGCAAAATGGCACCTGGCAAAATAACATTTATAACACATATAATAACATTGGGTTTATCACCTCTCAGTGGTATATTAAGAGGTGTATGGACATTTCCCCATCAGGACAATTCCCCACCTTGACATTTCCCCACACCTGTTTTGTAACCAGTAGGGCAATTCCCCACACCCATCACAAATAATGAACAAACACAAGCTGAGATTGTATATATATATATTGTATTAATATAGCTAAGAAGGTATATATATATACAAAATTAATGACACAGTTCCTGACACATGTAACAGCAGTGTTACCAAGTGGAGCTCGCATAAACGGTTATTCGGAATGAATTCCATTTCAGAAAATTTGGAATCTGACAGCAATTTACCAGAATATTAATACATTATTGTAAATCTCATTTTATCTTGGAGAAAGTTAATCTTGGAGAAGTTTATACTGTAACGTGGCCTTTGCTAGATGGGATGATGGACACAGGAAATCATTAATTGCTTTGAAAACTTTCACTTCATCTTGAGTCCCATCTTGAAAACCACAGGAAATCATTATAAAAACATTCTAATGACCTTACTGACCAACATACCCCCTAACATACAGATTAGTTAATCCCATTGCCCCTAATAAGGGAGTGACAGTGAGTCTGCTGTTTTAGTTTCATCATTTGTAACTCAGCAATATTCCAGCTATATGGCGGTCTGAAAATGTCGAATCTGGCCCCGACTAATCAGTGATCAACAGCATGAGGTATCGATCCTAGCCCAGAATAAATGAATCGATGACACTTGTCATCGTTCGCCACAATTGAAGCATGAATAATCAACCATTATTATCAGCTGAGCCGACCACCCATACCCGTTATTGTACAACAAGCAATTTGTGGCAAGCATGGGTTGCTGAAGACCTATTCTACCCCAGATCTTCACGGGTGCCCTAATAAGTGAATACACATAATGCAAATATTAGTTAAACCCTCGCTTCTATTGTACTACAATTTTATGAGTGGGGAATTGTCCTATTGGTTACAAAACAGGTGTGGGGAAATGTCAAGATGGGGAATTGTCCTAGTGGGGAATTGTCCTGATGGGGAAATTTCCTACACTCCACACTATGAAACAGGATTCGTCGGAACAGTATGGTTTCCAAAAACTAGTCTGCACCCAGATACTGTTAAGTAGTGGTATGAACTAGTAATATACAGAACATTTAATTGAACTTCAATTCTTGGAGCCATGATTCTCGACCCAAACTAACCGAGAGCCGCGACATGTCCTGAGTTACATCTGATTCTTACTCTTAGTTAATCATGACAACACCTCTGAAAATGGGGTAATAACTCTCACCCGCTCTATATATAAATGCTGTGTGCAATTTCTATTTTAATTTCCATCGAGCAAGTTCGCTAAGATACATACAGTAGCGTTCACATATGTATGTAAGTATTATGTATCTCAGCTACATTGGGTATGGTCGGTATTCGCATCTTCCGCGCACTGTCACACATCGACAGGGATTTGACGGGAACAGCCGAATATAACCGAAAAGCTCCTTCCGGTTTCCAAAGATAACTCTGCAAAGGATGTGAGAAAAATTGGTGACAGAAGAAAGATTTAGAGGTATATTGATTTGGACCGTTGCCTAGAAACGTAACCTGCTATTTTATCTGTGAGTACGCTTGACAATACACGCCTCTAGTTATTGGCTATAATATTTTGGGAACTGAACTGTCATTGTTTCCAGCCTGGGTCGGATAAACATCGGCGACTCATTTGAAAGGATCTGTCATGACTAACTCTTTGGCATCATTACGTATGGAACAGCCAACCAAAAGGCAACAGGATTTCATAGTCTAAGAACTGACCCTGATATATAATGTGCATTAGTTAAATAATGTTTTATTAGTTAAATACCGTACTTTTCAACGGGATGTTACAATAACCGACTCACTCGTTCCTCCTTTTGTTGATTGTATGTGAGACTTACACAGACCTTTGTCCCGTCCAAATTTACTAAGGACTCTCAACATGGTCGATATTTGGTTTGCTAGTAAAGCTTGGCAGGCATGCAAATTCTTTGAAACATTTTTTACAAGCCCAAATAGTGATATCCTACTGTAAACAGATGGACAGACGGAGACATCTACCTACCCAAGGTGCACTTTGCTGTGCTTTTCTACCCTGTCTTTGAGCACAAATGGACACCCATATTATCACAACATCTGATTGCGTTTAACTGTCTTTTCTTCCGTTACGCCTATTGGTTCCACATCATAAAGTATCTTTGTTTATTACTCCCCACTGGAAGATGCTGCAGCGTAATAATAGCAATATTAGCATGATTAGACTTGTGTAATCCCGCTAGACGTAAAACATCATAATGGTTTACAGTACAGTTGTGACGTCACAATGCTAATACCGCTGTTTTAATGGTGTTAGACCTTGCTTGACTCTTGGAAAACTGAGAGTCATCACACTAGGCAGTTTCTATCAAGTTATGTTGGAGAGTAATATACAGAATACTATTACTCGCTTCCATGAAATACTATTTTTATTAAACTCGTGAAAGATTTAGTATCAAACTCTCTTTCACTCATTTGATACCAAATCATTAACTCGTTTAATAAATGTAAGTAGCCATATTGAAAGATAAAACCTTTGTGTAGAAGACAGCATTGGTGGTCACCAAAGCACACTAAACTTGAACAACAAAGAATGCCAGATAGCCTGAATCTGGAGCCTTTGACCCATTGTCAAACTGTGTTAATGCTGTTGAGATGTTGGGTCTAGAATTGGTCTTCAGCAACCTATGCTTGTTGTGAAAGGTGACTAATTGCATTGGTTGGTCAGGCTTTCTTACTTGGTGGCTGCATATCATTGTATCCCAATGAGTCAATACTCATGATGTCAGTGATGGATTGTGTGTCCCAGACTTGATTATTGTACAGACAGACATCATATAGCAGGAATATTGCTGAGTGCACCATTATGCATCAAACGAACAAATGTAAAATGTTGATCTGGCTGTAATTTTCATAATCATGTAAAACTAGATCTGAAAAATCAGACCATGGTGTGTATTCAAAATGTGCAATGTTACCTTTTGGAACAACTAGATACAGTCGTGACCTGTTTATCCGGACGCTTGTGTTTTTCTTGAAATTGTCCCGGATAAACAAATTTCCGGATATCTGAACCTAGGACCATATGTAAAAAGACATTCAACAGTTTATCAGCGTAATTATAGTGACCCACAAATTGACACGCCTTTAAACCAACTCAAAATTTACTCAGTGTCGCCTTGCTAATTACAGGTAGTTAATCCTCTTACGCTTCAAAGACTGCCAACTTCTTTTATGTTAGGGTACGCAAGGCCACTCAGTAAAATATGTGTGTAAACATACTGACAGTGCTCCGGCATCCGTATATACGAGAAACAAATGCATATAATGTAGCATTTTGTGTGTGAAAATGACCATCCGGTGACGGAAACTGGATTTCCGGATAAGTGAGTAATTTTACAACGTTGTTAATTTCGTTTTAAGGAATTTTCATTCGGAAGGCGAGTTTTCCGGATATCTGAGGTTCGGATAAACGGTGCACGACTGTATGTTCCTATTAATGAAGTATGTTTATGAAGAAACAGAATCTTGATGTTTCCAGGTATGCATCAGTAGTGTACCGAAAATGCCAAGTTCACGGAGTTCAGGGAGAACTCGTAGTCGGGAGTCGACGTCAAGAAGAAGTCGTTCAAGTAACCGATCACGCACTCGTCACAGTGATGGCCAGAGTCGTCCTCGACGTCATTCCCACTGTAATTTCAAACATCGTGAACGGAACTTTGCAGGTGCAGTTTGTAACATGATAACTATTGTGATTCTGTGTGTGGCCTTGGCGGAACCCAAATGGGTGTCCATCTACAATGGACTCTGTAGCCTCATCCAGAGACCACGGGGTGGATTGCACTTCCTGGGTGCTTTCCAGTTTTTCTACAGTGGACATTTTATAGCCCCAGGCACATATCCTGATGAAGGCTCAAGTGTATTATATCAGTATGGACCAAGTGTGGTGGATGGTAAGTCTTCATCCTGGTTGAAGATTCCTGTGTTTTAACCTGTAAATTAAAATACACACATTCTTTGAAGGTAGCTGAATTGTTTTACATGTATTAGCGTTAGCTGTGTTTGTTCCAGTAAGGAAACGGTAAGACTGATGGTAGATCCTGTAAGTAGGGGTCTATTGTGAATACCACCAGAAAACTACCAAAGTATTGAATGTACACACACTTTAAATAGAAATTGCAATGTGCAAAGACCATTCAGTTTGTATTGTAATAATAAGAAAATGGCAAATTATCATTAAGTTTATAAGGTATGTTGAATTTTTTATGTAATACTGAAAAAAACCATTCACTGCATTTGTTTCTTCTTGTCTTACGTTGTGTGCCAGATAGTTCCGAAACAGTTTGTTTACTATATACTCTAAGTTCTATTCCAATTTCAAATATGCAAATTTGCAATTAAACATCACTAGACAAGATTATTTATCTATTCTGTTCTAATTTGTTTTTGCTAGGCATTGTCTTATATGCAGGGATTAAGATTACTGTTTATCTGTTTAAAGTATCTACATAGCCCATACAGCGGTAGCCCCCTGCTAGTTTTCTTTGGTAATCCTGAAGTGACAAAGAAGTGGCATTAAATTTTATGTCTTGAAAAAGGATGTTCAATGCAGTGTTATGATGCAATATATTTACCTTTGAATTTATGTTTATGAAAGTAAAAACTTTAAGCAGAAACCCAATCTGTTGCAGTTTGTTCTGTACTGCTATCATTTTAATGTCTTTCCCAGTGATGGCCAACTGTGTGACCACAAAAGCGGTGATGGTGTTCAAGTGGGTGATAGCTGCCTCCTGTGTTGCTGTCATCTGTAGCCTCATCGCCTTCCTGCTGGATTTAACCGGGCCCACACAGAGAACCTTCCGCATGTTGCATCGTAACGCCATCTTCAGCATTCTGACAGGTACGCACTACATGACTCAACACAAAGAAAAATGCACATCATACTGTCTTGCTAAAATCAGACCTCAATTCCCAATTTCACAAAGATCTGAGGACGCCAGAATGGCCTTGTCAGAATTGCCTTGTCACTAACTTTGATCGGCCAGAGTATATCTAACAAACCAATCAGAAAGCAGATTTCTCAAGGTTCATGGCTCTAGTTAGGAACTGGCGACATCCATTCCAGACAGTGCTGTGAAAAATATTTTCTAACTCTGTAGTTTATCATAGACTTGCGAATGTTGTAGGGCTACAAATGTTTTGTGGGTTGGGCCCTGGGTCACCATGGTGACTTGGTTGACCACATGTCATGGAGTTGCATGGGTAGATGCTCATGATGTCAATCACTACATTGTTCAAGACATCATTTTCTGACCACCATCACATACCTAGAGGGAACGGGTGGGTAGCTTAGTGGTTAAAGCGTCCACTTATGCCGCAGACCCAGGTTCGATTCCCCACATGGGGTACAATGTGTGAAGCCCATTTCTGGTGTTCCCCGCCTTGATATTGCTGGAATATTGCTAAAGGCATAAAACTAATCTATCTCACTCACTCACTCACTCACTCACTCACTCACTCACTCACTCACTCACTCACTCACTCACTCACCCACCCACATAGCTAGAATACTAGTACAGTAAACATGAAACAATGGAACTGTATTGTACGGATTACTCTTATATTGTTTATTCACTCACTGGTGTATTTTTCATGTCCTCTTGTATTGTAGTAGTGATCTGTGTGATCGTGAACATCCTGTGCTATTTCATCACGACACAAGTACAGCAGCTTCAGGGGGACAACAAGAAAGTGGAAGTTTCCTTTGATGTCAGTTTCTACCTGATCTCGGCTGCGGGAAGCGTGTCCGTGTTTGCTGTGGCCTGCAACTGCCTGCGCCGATACCCTCTCCACGAAGAGCCCCGCCCCCAGCCATACTTGCTGGATGACTGTGATGACTTGCACTCTCTACTGTCTCCCTACAGTCACGATGCCTCCTTCATAGGGCAACTGCCCCCAACCCCAGCCTACTCCCCCAACGTCCCCACTACAACCCCCACTGCAACAACAACCAACACACCTGCAACCACCCCGACCCCGGGGCCTGCTCCTCTGAGTGTGGTAGCTTGAAGAGCTCAAACATGTATATGTATTGGTAACTCTTCAACAATCCCTATTCCCACACTGACCCAACCTTACCCCCACCCCTACAGTGCCCCTGTCCACCCCAGCATAAACTGATAGCCTGAAAAGAACATCAGTGCATAGATATTAGTCCTATCACTTCAAACCGCTATCGGGACAGTAGGATAGCCTTGTGGTTAAAGCGTTCGCTCGTCACGCTGAAGACCAGGGGTCGAATCCGAACATGGGTACAATGTGTGATTCTGTGAAACCCGTTTCTGGTGTCCCCGGCCATGATTTTGCTGGAATATTGCTAAAAGCGGCGTAAAAACACACTCACTCACTCACTCACTCACTCACTTACTCAAACCCCCATCCCAAACCTTCATGTTAAATCAACCCCAAACCCTGCCCAACACCTCTATACAGCCCATCCCACCTTAGCATTGGTTCCGTCCCATCCCACTCCCACTCTGGTAGCCTAGTCTTCATGCCAAAGACCCGGGTTCGATTCCCCACATGGGCACATTTTGTGAAGCCCATTTCTGGTGTCCCCCACCATGATATTGCTGGAATATTTCTAAAAGCAGTGTCAAACTAATCTCACTCACTCACTGAACCAACATCTAATTCCACACAAAGCTTGCACTTCTGAAAAGAGCAACAGTGTATATGGCCCCACCCATTGGGCAGCCCTCAGTTAGTGGTAGTCTGAGACATGTGTATCAGTGTTATTATTGTCCTGACCCAGACCCTTAACATCACACCGACACCCACCCCTACCCCACCCAGCTCCCTCCCATCACAGAGGCTTCTATTTTAACAGTGATTCTGTGTGTATTTATTGCTGATGCTTCACAGCAGGTGTTGGCAAGTAGTGACACAGAATAGGCCTATTTAATTATGATCTGTTGTGTAGATTTGATATTTACTACATTGACATTTGACTGGAGGCAGTAGAGGTTGTGTGATATTGTCTTGTCGTAGAAGATTGTCTTGTCAAAGAAGATTGTATTGTCAAAGAAGATTGTCTTGTCATAGAAGATTGTCTTGTCAAAGAAGATTTTCTTGTCAAAGAAGATTGTCTTGTCATAGAAGATTGTCTTGTCAAAGAGGCCATGTGGGATCGTCCTGTCAAAGAAGGATTGTATTGTCACAGAGACTATGTCGGATTGGCTTGTGACAAAGGCTATATTGGATAGTCTCGTCACAGAGACTATGTTGGATTGGCTTGTGACAAAGGCTATATTGGATGTCTTGTCACAGAGACTATGTTGGATTGGCTTGTGACAAAGGCTATAGTGGATTGCCGTCACAGAGACTATGTGGGATTGGCTTGTGACAAAGGCTATAGTGGATTGTCATCACAGAGGCAGTGTGTGATAGCCTTGTCATAGAGGACTGTTTTGTCACAAAGGCTGTAGATTATTTTGTGACAGAGACTATGTGAAGCATTGTCAGCATGTATTGCTTGACTCCAGGGCACTATGTACATGATATATGCAGAACATTCTATTCACGATTAGTGTTGTGTTGCATATAAGAATTTCTGCTTTAATTGTGTTTGTGAGTGCACATATATATATGGGTCTTGATGGTGATATTTTTTAGTGTGTCTATAAGAGTGTATATGTGTGAGAGCATGTATGTATGTATGTGTGTGTGTGTGTGTGTATGTGTGTGTAGAATGTACAGTGTGTGAGGTAAATGAGTGTCTTGCTACCGTGTGTGTCAGTGTGCAGTCAATGGTGTTCTGCTCAGTGATGTGTGTCTACAAGAGGCTTGCTACTTGTCATTGTAACATTGAAATATGTCTTCATACTGTTTTTAGTCGGACATTGAATCATGTTAACTGAATGAATGATTGCAGTGAAATAATCATGATTAAAGAGATATACAGGTGTCACAATCACTGTGAAATAATGAGTAGAGTTACTTCCCTTTGACTGTTTCAGCCCTGATTCAGACACTGATCTAAATAATACTAATAGTTGCACCCAAGTTCATAAGCTGAGAGTGTGGTTGTCATTTTTCTCTGTTTTAAAACTGTATTTGACTGTTTGATGTAGAAAAATTAAAGGTTGTGTAAAATTAAGTCAGTTAATTGATGTGAGACAAGATTGATTGGCATTATGTTGCTTTTCCCAGGGATGTCAGCTGTCACTATTTGTGTACATGTTAATTATTTATTACTCCTATTTAGAAAGAATCTTGAGTCACGATTCAGAGGACAATTGAGTGTTTTATTTTTCAATTATAAGAGTAGGATATGGTGGTCAGTCTCACTGACTGTAAACATGTGTCATTGTATCCTAACTGCATAGATAGATGCTTATTATATCAGTCATTGGATTGTCGGTGCAGCTTTGATGATTCACACTTCAGCCATATAGCTGGAATATTGCTGTGTGCAGTGTTAACAAAAAGAGACTATGTTTTGTAGTGAACATGGATCTGTATAGTAATGGAAATGTCTCCTCTTGAGGAATATAACCATCAGTGATACTGTCACGTTGATGTATATTTGTCATTGTAGAGTAGAGCTCATGTCAGCAGGGTAGGTCAAATGTGATTCTCTGATTTGTTACACCTTCTTCTACAGCTTGAAGGGTCACGCAGATAGCATAGTCATCTGAGGGTAGCAATTTGCTGTGTAGAGTTACTTACCTTAGGCGTGCCAGAATCCTGTGATCTTTTGTGCTGAATACCAGATTTGCCCTAATTATCAATTAATGTTTTTGGTTCATCAGCGTCACAGATTGCCAGGTCGTTTAAGGCACCACAACTCCCAGTGCAGAGTTATGTCCCCTGGGCATGCCTGAAACCTATGATTATGGGTTCAAATCCATGTCTGCTCCGATTATGTTCCTTGGTCTGCCCTTGTGTTTCACCCAAGTGGTAAACATCTGAAGCTTGCATCACTTATTGACGTTTCTCCCAACATCAGACTGACATGGCACGCCGAAGACCCGGGTTCGAATCCCAACATGGGTACAATGTGTGAAGCCCATTTCTGGTGTCCCCCGCCGTGATGTGGCTGGAATATTGCTAAAATCGGCGTAAAACCAAACTCAGTCAGTCAGTCAGTCAGTCAGACTGACATGGTGTGATATGACTGGAACACTGTTAAGAGCAGCAGTTTACCCACCTCAGCCTTGGGTTATCAGTATCCAGGCTCATGGATTTCACCAAAATCCACACCCACTTTGTCTTGAGGGCTCAATCAAAGTGTTATCATCTTCCTTCAGTAACAAATGATGATGTTACTGGAATACTGTTCAAATCAGCTCACTCAGTCCTCTGTAATTCCTTGTATGAACACATAATAGACCATATCTCTATTGTCACAGAATGTGAAGCTTTGTCTAACAGTTGCCACAGCATTGATGTACAAGTTGAAGTGGCTAGAATTCTTACTTTACATGTGGACACTTGTGGCCGATGTGTCTACGGTGCTGTCAGTCAATTGCAGATTTTCATCTCTGAGGAGAGGCACAAAGCAGTGAAGGGGTCTCAAACAGGATTAAGATCACCGCTGGTTTCTCAGCAGTATATGTAGGTCTCTGGGCAAACTGTGCCATCGCAGTAGACATGGCAAACATCAGGGCCTTGTACCAGCTCCTGGGTGACCAAAATGATTAGGGTGTAGAAACGGAGACAGTTTACTCAATGATCTAGGATGCTGAATTCGTCACAGGTGACCAGATGATTAGGGTGTAGAAATGGAGACAGTTTATTCAATGATCTAGGATGCTGAATTCGTCACAGGTGACCAGATGATTAGGGTGCAGAAACAGAGACAGTTTACTCAATGATCTAGGATGCAGCATGGGGCAAAGGTGACCAGATGATTAGGGTGCTACAAGGAGCAGAGGTCCAGTGGCGAAAGTGCTGCAACAAGGATCCACTTACTGTGGGTTTAGTTTACCCTCATTGTGATCCTTGGTTTGTTAGGATCATGCTTTTACTGTTTACATGTTTAAAGATAAAAAATATTTGATTCTTTTCATGATTTAGCTGCACTTACCTGTATGTACGAACATTTGTGATATATTTGTGTAATGGCATTTATCAATATTCAACATGAATTATTGATCTATTTTCACTGTACTACCTAAGTGCTGCTTGTTTTTAAAATAAACCAACTAACTGCAGATATGGTATATTTCTTGTATGTTAGTGTGCGAGCAAGTTTAGTTTTACACTGCTTTAGCAATATTCCAGCAATATCACGGAGGGGGACACCAGGAATAGACTTCACACATTGTACCCATGTGGGGAATCAAACCTGTTTCTTCGGTGTGACGAGCAAACACTTTAACCCCTAGGCTACCCCACCGCCCCTTGTATGTTAATGATCCATCATACCTGGTAGATCATACTTCTAGGCTTAATAAGATATGACACCATGCTTGTCTCCCTGTGGGGATTCTCAGGAAGTACAGGCCCTGAAACCCATTTGTGATATACTGGCACCCACATTCACATTGCCATAAATTATGAAACGATTCCAACTGGTTGTCATGTGATTTTGGTTGAAGGATCACATGAACCTACCAAGGGCAGCATCTGCGGACATATGACTGGTTTAACTATTGTGTCCAGCAAGATCGAGCACCAGACTGGTTGAAAAGCTATGTGTGTGGTTGATTGTTCATGTGACTCCAACTGGTGGTCATGTGACTGGTTGAAGGATCATTTATATTCAGGTCTGTGCCATGTGACTGATTGAAAGATCACGTGACTTCTGATGGGCAATGTGTGTGACGTCATTCCATAATGATAAATACTGTGGACCCGTTCACCATCATAGCTTCGTTACCATGGCTGCTTCATAGGCGCACACCAACAATACAGAAAATCCACAGATTGATGTGAAATTCTATCCACGTCTTCCTGTATGAGGTCACGCAATCCATAAAGTCATCAATTCTGACACCTTCAGGGAAGATAAGACATGTAACGCCCTGTATTGTCGAGGATGTAACATTCTCGCCTTGACTGCACCACGATCGATTTGACCAAAGGTTTATTTAATTTCAGCAAACGCCTGGGCCATCCTAATAAAATCGTACCCTGTGGTGTTACAGGAAATCTGTTCACAGCAGTTACCTTCAGTCGCTCGGGTGCAAAGATCCCGTGATCTAGTGGTTATCTGGCCACATGCTTGGTTGATTGGTTGTTTACACAAGGGGCGGTGGGGTAGCCTAATGTTTAAAGCGTTGGCTCGTCACGCCGAAGACCCGGTTCGAATCCCCACATGGGCACAATGTGTGAAGCCCATTTCTGGTGTCCCCCGCCGTGATGTTGCTGGAATATTGCTAAAAGCAGCGTAAAACCAAACTCAGTCAGTCAGTCAGTTTACACAATATTCCAGCTCTATGGCGGCGGTCAGTAAATAGTCGAGTCTGGACCAGGCAATCCTGTGATCAACAGCATGAGCATCGATGGCTTGGTGACTTGGTTGAATCATTCGTGTCACCGTGACCCAACGGCTTTGGTCGGTGCTCATTATATCGATCACTGGGTTGCAGTTCCATACTCAGTTATTTACAGACCGAGGTCAAATACCTGGAATATTGCGACACTAATCAACCAGCACGCAGACTGGTCACGTGGATGGGTTTTTTCCGGGTCACATGACTTTCGTTGGACCAAAACTGGCAGAGCATTATCTGGAAGTTACAGTGTAACGTTTAGCAGGCACGGTGACGGACGGAGCGGCAGTGATTGCACGTTAATGGAGTAGCTACTGGTAGAGAGCTGGGAAGCAGCCAGTGTTTATGATGGCGTCTGTCAAGTGCTGCTCGAATGTAAGTGGGCGTCTTCCTGGCAGAAGCATCACACTCACATAGCCGACATAGCTGAGTACAGAAACACACTCTGCCGTCTGCAGGTTGCTGGGAGAGCAGCCAGTACGATTACATCAGAGATTACCACTGTCGTTACTCCATACATCCCAGAACCCATTTGAAAAGAGTTGATAGCGCTGTCGTAACTGCTGTTTTAATTGGCCGAGCTGCAAAAAATCACTGTAGTCGTACGACTGGGCTACGAAAGTCATCTTAATTACCTCTACCGTAACACC